GACTTTTAAGAACAATATGTTTTTTATTAAATAAATAACAAGACATAATGCATTTGATATCATGATCTTTGAAGAAACTTTCAATGTTTGGTGATATTATTAGAAATAAATATTATTCTTGATGATGTTTAAAATATTTTATTTAAAGGCAGTTATATAGATCTCAACAATAATTTAACAAGAAGGTACTCTTTCCACCTTGATATAGGATACTATTAATGGTTGAAAAGACCTATTAACTACCTTCAAAAGAAAAAAATAAAAATATCTTGTAAATACAATTTATCAAATTTTGGACTTCTTCAACATGTAATTACTATTTCTTGTGGAATTTGTCCTTAAAAAGAGGGATTATATCATGGACATATTTAATAGTAATAATTATTTGAATAAATAAAAATGGATTAAAAATAAATAATTTCTATAATATTTTGTAGACACAAATCTTCACTTTATACAAACATACATTTGACTTTATACATATTCATAGATGATTGATAGGTTAAAAACTTGATAAACAAGTTAGTCATGTATTACACATGTTGGCTATTTGTGGTACAAGTTGGCTATGTAGCATACATATAGAAACTTATCTTATATATTAAACATGTGTTTTGCAATTTAGACATGTATTGAAAATCTTATAGAATTTTACCACGTAGTTTTTAGCTAAATAGTATATATAAAGACAAAAGTGAAGCTTTTTTTACTCTTATCAATGCCTTTCTTATAATTAGTCTTATTTCAAGAATCCATAGTCTTATTATCTTTGGTAATAGCCATTATGATTTTAATATTATATTATCTTTAAATGAATATCTATTTTTTTTAGTGATACAAGAATATATTGTCTCTTTGATTGTTTGTAATTTATATCTTTAATTTGTAGTTTTAACTTTTAAGATTTTTTTAAAGTTTTAGATTAGATTAAAATTATAAATTAAATAAATTAAATATAATCTTAACTTTATTCTAAGTCTTTTCTAAAGTTTTTTACAATCTTAAAGATTATTTTAAATACTTTTATGTTCAATATTTTTAATATTATTTAAATATTTTTAAAATTATTTTTTTTGATAAATTTTATGTTTAATATTTAAAATAATTCTTTTGAAATTTTAAGATAAAATTTAGATTTTCATCTTTAAAATGTAATTTTTTTAGTAATTATGATGTATTAAAATATCAATAAGATAACATAAGCACATTATTTTAAAAATATTTGTAGATAATAATATTTTATTTGAAAATATACTTTAAAAATATTAATGGGACCAATTTTGATTAATTTAAATTTAAAAAATTGGAAAATTATTTTTCTTTATTTTTCATCTTTTCTACAAAGTATGTAATAGCCATACAAAAAGAAAAAATCTATATTTTATCACGAATTATGTTATTATTAATTTCAACTCCATAAGGTTTTATTTTAAGTAAGAACCTATTACAACTTTTTGTGAAGAACAAAGATGTAAATTCTCACTAAAGAGTTTCTTAATTAGGTATACTTTCTACTTTTTTGACATTTACAAAAAGCAACCATTATTTTCATTTTTCCATGCATATATAGTTTTGCATGTTGTTATTAGTGCTTCCTTGTAAGTGGCTTCCTTCACCATAGAAACCTCTCTTCTATTCTATTGAAGATATGGTGCTTGATACTTTTGGGATATGCCACCATTATAATTATATCCTAATTCTAAAGTAAAAACCTTCTTTTTGTCTTAATACCATATTGGACCAATCTAAACTATTCCCAAATGTTGCCTTATATTTTCCTTCTATCTTATCTAATGTTGGCCTCCTCTCATAATAGTTTTCAGGCATGACATTACTTGCAATTTAGTGTAATGAATCATTTCCTCTATCCCCTACCCATAAACACTTTTACACTTCTATGTTTATTTTGATTTTGATTTTTTGATTTTTGATTTATTTTTGATTTATTTTTGGGAGTTGCAATGTCCCTTTCCTGTACAGTATTGAACTCTAATTTGTGTATGAAAGGAATGGATCCCAATCCTTTGCAATACATTGATGTCTCCATACAGGATGGACAGAAAAGCCATGGATGGATGGATTGATGGATGGATGGGTTGATGGATGGATGGATGGATGAATGGATGGGTTGATGGATGGATGGATGAATGGATGGGTTGATGGATGGATGGATGGGTAGATGTATTATGTTGTTTTCATCCAAATACCAGGTTGAAACAAGGAATTAAACTCCTTTGCACTAAAGTTTTAAAAATACTTAATTACTTCTCTTTCAATCATTGGTAGTGATTATATAATACAGACAATTTCAATGCAGTTTATTCACATAAAATGTTGCAATTAGATGAATAGAAGTAGAAAATCACTCACTTTTTTTTTTCTTTTCTTTTTTTTTCTGAATAAAAAAAATTTCAAAACGTCAAAAATTGTGGAAATAATTTCATTCAATTAAGGATATATATATATACATACATACACTTTAATTTACACAATTTTCTGCTTATTGATATTTTTTTTGATATCTACCATATTTAAACGTGTTTTCTCTGATATATATATATATATATATATATATATTGAATCCAATAAATTTACTAAAATCTTGTAGTTTTCTCAAATACTTATGAAATAAAAAATCCACTTTGCAAACAAAAAATCATTTCATTCATGAAAGGTGTACCTATATGTAGATTTGATTTTTATTTGTTTATTTTTCTTCTGAATGATAAAAAAATACATTATTGTATTTAAAACATAATCATTATCTCTATTATAATTATTATAAAAGTAAACCATTTCAACAATGTAAAACTACCCCAACAAAAGAAAATTACATACGTTATATCATAAATGGCACAAAACAGACAATTTCACACAATGGAAGTGAATAAATTATTGAATGTATGTTTTAATAAAGTACATATACAAAATAAATGAAAGAATTAAAAAAGCAGTTTTAACCTAACAACAGAAATACAAAAAAAATATGTAGGTTCTTAGAAATACAATAATGTGTTTGATTTTATGAAGGTGTTTCATTAATAAATTACAATCAATGTATATCTTACAATAAAAAAATAAAATAAAAAAAATACATATAGAGTAATTTATTCATAATTATCATATAGAATTTTAAATAGAAAAAATAAATGATTAGCACTACATTTCAAGCTTGATTATGATTTTTTTTAATAAGACCCATATATATATATATATATATATATATATATATATATATATTCTATATTATACATTAAATAAATATATATGTGTAATTGTTTTATTTTATTTTTAATATCATATTTTATTTTTATTTAATTAGTAGTTTAATTTTTTTAATAATTAAAGATCAATATTAAAAAAAATAATGTTTTACAATTTTATAAATCTGACATATTTATTTATATCCATTTTTTGTAAAAAAAAATTAATGTGTTTAATGCATTATGTGATTTTCATTCATGTATTTTTAAAAACATTCTTTTTGTACTTCTTTTACCACTCTTGCTTAAATCTCTAATTAAAAAAATTAATAATCTAACTATAGTTTCGTATTATACTTAAAAAGAGTCATTTATATAAAAATTATTAAATTATAAACATTATAATCATTCAACTAAATAGATTAGCATGATCATAATATTTTGCAAACTTGAACTTTTATACTACATCAGCATGTTAATACTATGCCTCTCTATGCAAAGGCTTCTTGTTAGAATTTAATTCATATAGTCCAAATAGAGGTAAAAACAACTCGCTATAGTAAAGAGCTGCACACACTCTATGCTATTATATTTGGCCATGTTGGTTGTGTGTAGGCTCATATGGTAGGACAATAAGTGTTTGGAAGCAGCTCTAACTCTTTACTTTAGGCTTCATATAAGATTAGGTCTTATTCAGAGTAATGAATTGGAGGAGTTTTCCCTCATTCAGAGCTTAATCATGTTCACAAGATGAGATAAGCCTTCATTATTCCAATAAGAGAAAGAAGAAGGCTTATTGGTTACATTATTCCAAACGAGCCCTTCTAAGTGCACAACACTAAGTAAACCAAGCCAATTAGTATTATACATTGATGGTGGATAATCATATTTTTTTACAAGTACTAAATATAATTCCATAAATAAGCAAAATGATAGTTGCATTAATAAGAAAGAACTTTGAAAAAAGTGCTAAAAAATCATGTTCAAACATTTCTTCAAATTTCCTTTTTATGTTTTTTAATCAAATTTTCCATATTGCACTACATTACATATGAAAGTATGCATATATTCTAAGAAAACTTTGGGATAAACACCCATCCAAATAACTCCAACAATAAAAAGGAAAAGTATTAGAACTTCTCTTCTATTTAAATTGAAATTTTTTTGGAAGAATTTGGATTTGAAATTCCCAAAAATCACATGATTATATAACCAAAGAGAAAAAGTTGAGCCTAAAATCATTCTATTTTCTTAGAAAGCTCATACTAAAATAAGAAATTATCCAATAAAGCTGCTAGTACTCTCATAAACTCATATTAGCTAAGGCAAAGAGTAAGAAAAATCGTAGAGAACAATGGCATGGTGCTGACTAAACCTTCATAATATTTAACAAGTTGAGTCATATGTTGGTCATATAAAACACCAACACATAAATCAAAAATAAAAAAAATAAAAAGAAAGTAAACTAATACCTTCAAATCCTTGTATGTTTAAACTAAACATTCCAATAGTCACAAAATTCATATGAGCTTCATAGGCAATAATTTTCTTCAAATTGATTTGTCTTATTGTAGTCAAGGAAGTATATATAATAGCAATAACGCATAGAGTATAAATGAAAGGAATAAAACAAAGTGTTGCTTCAGGAAACATGGGTACGGAAAATCTTACAAAAACCATAGGTTCCTAATTTTAAAAGAATTCCTACAACCTAAGATTTTTTACTATATTTTATCAACTGTTCATATTTTGTTTATTTCAGCAATATGCTCTCAAGTACAAGTACTTGTGATTTTTTGCTAGAATCAAATGCGGGTGGAATACCCATTACTGTCTGTGTCCCATTTACGAGTCACTCTGCTTTCATGCCGTCGTCGTCGTCGTGTTCGATTGAAGCCGTGGGCAATCGAACCAGGATTCATGGCCACCACGGCTATCACTCCCGCTACCGCTACTACATCAGTGCAGCTGCCGTTGGGCCAGGTATGCGACGTAATTCTGAGATGCATGAGATTGGAAAAAAAAAAAGGACATTATAGCTTTCGAGGATTTTCAGGCGTTGAATAGGAGGAGCGTGGAGGTTGAGAGGAGCTGTGGATTGAGCAGTAGGATTGTGAGCAGATTGGTTGTTCGATAGCAGGGGGGATGTAATTGTGGCAGTCGTCGTCGGGACAATCAAGGTATGGAGCATGTGTGTGACGTTCGTCTTGATATGGACACGGTGGCAGGAAGGTTATTTTATTTGTTTTATTATTTTATTTTTCTAGGGCTTGTTCGTGCTGAGTGTTTGCAGTGGTGAGCAGTAGGATGGTACTAGATCCGTTGCAATTAGCAGAGGTGCGGTTGATGGTAGGCAGTAGAATTGCTGGGACAGAAACTTGTGTTGTTATGGCGTTGAGAATTCGTTTGTGTGTGCAATTGTGTGGTTAGTAGGCGTGATGGCTCGTGTTGTGCTATTGTGATGAATGTCGGGCTGTGTTTCGAGCCGGAATCGTGATTCGTAAGTGCAAGTAATGGGATGAGTTAAGTGAAATATGAGCGCTAGTGGCACAGTTGCCGGGAGTATGGAATGCGTGGCGTGATGGGCAGCTTGTGTTGCATGAGGTTGCGTAGGATTCAGGAGAGAAGGAGCAAGTAGTGGGGGTACTGCATTGGTACTAGTCGGATACACGATGGTATGTAGGACCTGAGACGAGCAATGGAATTGTGCAGATTGATTTGGCGGACTGCATCGAGTGGCAGTCTGTGGAGTGCTTGAACGAAAATACAGCGCATACATTCGTCAACGCTCTTAAGCAGATTATTGCGCCTCACAGTACCTGGATTCGTTGTATTGCGCATCTGTGCTGCCAGGCTGCTGATTGCAAGAAATACTTTCACGCTCATATCTTAGCATTGTTTGTCTCCTTTTTTACTCTGATTAAGGGTTAATATGTACGTTTTATTTGGAAGCAGCTGAATTGAGCCTATTTCTAATCACAATTGTTTTCTCAGAAACGCATTCATATATTTATTCGTGTACATTCTGTTTAGAAATGAGTTTCAGTATCATCAAGAAAGTTCAGTCAATTTCTGTTTCTTAATGGCAGTGATAAACATCTTAGGGGTTCGTCGGATGGCGATGCCTATCATCCGTACAACTTAGATAGTCTTGATAAATGTTAAACTGGAAATGCTGAGAAGAATATTTGTGTATAGGGGTACAGGGAGGACAATGGTTTGCATTTAGAAAGTGATGCTGATGAACAGCTACTTCTGTTTATCCCCTTTAACCAAGTTAAGCTCCATTCTTTGATTATCCGAGGACCTCCAGAAGAAGGTTAATATTTCCACCTTGCACTAGATTCACGTCTGAAGCTGGGATATGATAGCCTTCTCCTCTTAAGGTTTTGAATTGGTAAGTCCGTGGCCGACTAAGGTGTTGCTGGCACTCATTGTGCCCGTCAAGAACGAAACTGCGTTTTGAAGGCAATCACTGTGAATGGTTGAAACCAGAAGTATTTAACTGCTCTTTTCAGAAACAGATTTTTGTTCATGTCCAAACTGGCCGAGTTAATCAATGATCTAAATTACGTGTTCAAAATTTGAAGTTGTTAGATTAACTATTGTTTCATCATACCAGTGGTCACGGTATCGTGTATTTTTCTTTTTTGGTATTTGTCAGAGTTTTCTAAAGAATATGCGTCGCTGCAGGTCCAAGGACATTGAAGCTCTTTGCCAATAGGCCAAATATGGGCTTCAGGTGAGATTGCACTGTCGAGATAACCTTGAATCCACTTGCCCTCGTTAAAACTGATGATGTTGAAACCTGTCATCATTCTCTTCTTTCGTGTAGCTAGAAGTTTGCATGTGGGTTTAAAATGGCTTGTCAGTGATTTGCAATGCATGGAATTCTTCAATCCACTTCAATACATCAAATATGCTCATTGCAGAGTCTAGAAGGTTTAGATATTTACGGTGGCTTAATAGACATGTTCTGTTGGCAGCAATGTTACCGACTATCCTCCGAACGACACTGTTATTGCGTCACTTGAGGACCTCGAGGTATCTAATATCCCAAATTTATCGATGTAAGTGTGTGTTCTTTGGAATTCTATTTTAGCAGATCATTGATCGAATGATATTTTAATGCTGAAAGCTTTGACCGGTTGTCGGTCCCTGACTTCCTACGATTACAGGAGAGGCCAATGCCGCTTAAATACGTCAAGTTTCAAAGTGTGCGACAGTGAGTGCCCAACTGATCCATCGTCCTCCTAATAATTTTGTACCAATTTATTTGTCGCTGCTGAGGGCCGCACTTATTTGTTTTTCCATTTTAGTTCGTGCTCTAGGATTTTAACAAGCATGGACTCGAGGCGCGATATGTTGCAAATACTATCAGAAATAATTTCTGCTTGGACCTGCGCGCCGTTAATTTTGCAGTTTGACAGTATTCGTTGAAGACAACTAAGGAGGCGGCGAAGTCACTCAGCTTTAGAAACTTTCTATTATTGGTAGCACGTAAGTGCTCTCTTTACTCTTGTTCTAGCAGTGTCCAAGGGGGGAGTATATCCCTCTCAGTAAATTCTCCAGTCTTGTAGAGGTATTTGTTTTGGTATAACTTAAGCTTTTGGATAGCAGACACCTCACGAGAACACACGTAATGAAGAAATGCTTCTTATTGTGAAAGAACGGAGCAGGAAGTTAAAGCACTTTGATAGATGAGATTGGTGTGATGAGCTGATTTGATTTGAATTCTGTGTTTGATGTGCAGAGTTGAAACCACGAATATGAAGGATTTGAAGATCAGTGAAAATGAATGATGAATTTATCTAGTTGCCTGTTTTTGGCCAACTTTCTGTAGTGGTTAATGGAGCGAGTTCTCTCTCAGACAAATTTTCTGGATCAGCCTTAGGTCCTCTTGCTATTTATAGTAGTCACTGTTTCTATTCGAAAATTTCTGCAATCTGTGAGTATGGGTGACTTACCACGGTTTTGACTTAGTCTTACAACCGAAATTGGTTTTTGAACCTAATATGTATGTGACAATTTTAATGTCTTTTGTATGCCGAGGAGTTCGTCTCTAAATCTGATACATTTGAAAGACTAGTGAAATTATTTCATGCTTTCTGGGGTAGCTTGAATTGTACTTGCTCCTTCAATCTTTAAAGTGCTTGTGGGTTTTGCTTGTTTGTGCATTTTTATTATTTTTTAATTCCTTTTTTTTTTTGTTTTTTTTTGTTTTGTTTTGTTTTTTTTGTTTTTTTTTTTTTTTTTATTAAGAACTTGTTTTTTGTTGTTTTTTATTGTATCCTATTAAGATAAACCACATTGTAATAATGATGTTGGACGACAATTGTATTTATTATATCACATCATGTCTTTGATTATATTACTGAATATGGATAACAATAGATTTTTATTTTTTATTTTTTAACCTACTTGGAAGAGAAATCTATTAGTACGATGCCCATTAAATAATAATGTCAAAATCTATAAAGGATGGTTTTTAAATTTTTTATTAAAAAATGCATACATTAAACATATTAAAATTGATTGAAAGAAAGTCATTTTGAATTTTTAAAAATTTGAATGTTTTTTTTTTTTCTTTTTTTTTTTTTTTTTTTACAAAGAAGCCAAATTAAAATGAAATCCATCTCATATTAGATCTTGTTTAATAAGATTTTTTAATTAAAAATATGAGTGGTTGAAAAAATACTTCTTTATTATTTTTGATTGATGGTAATGGAGTTGGAATAGGGTCTTATTGTATCTTCTTCAACTATGCATAATAGTACTTAAAGATATTGTTATGGAGTTGTTGAAAAGATTGAAATGTAATAATTTGAAAGTACGTAATAAATAGTTAGTTTTGTTAGCTTTTGTAATCTTAATTTGTCACAATATGCTATAAACTATAAATGCAAGTTCAAAATACAACATAACAATTTAATTAATTTAAAAGAGGTTAAGAAGTTTGATTAGAGTGTTATCTCTTTGTAAGAATTGCAATTAAAATTTGATTCAATTGAACATTATGAAGATAGAGTGGTTATTTATTATTAAACGTATTATTCTTTATAACTAAAAGCCTAATTTGATGCTTTTTTTTATGTGTTCAAGTAATATATACAATAAGTTGGTAAATATGCCAATTTAGTCAATAAAGATGATTATTTTAATATTGGAAATTTTAACTTTAACCATTTAAAAAAAAGGTACATAAGATAAATTTAAAAGGAATAAAATGATGGCTTCATATTTAAATAAATTAAACTTTAAAATATCTACTTTACTTTGAGATAATTGTGTTTGAAATATGATTGATATACTTGATCCTTATTATATATTATATTGTTTTTTTATTCTACTATACTAAAATGAAAAGACTACTACATAAGATGAGAGTAAAAAAATTACATTTCAATTGTAGTAGGAAATAGAGATTAAACTGGAATATATATATATATATATATATACAAGAAAATGTTAAAATGACCTATCTATATATTAAATTGACCTACCCTATTATAACCATCATTAGAAAAATGGATCATCTCTAGAAACTATCATTACAATTATGGCCCTCATCTTAACCTCTCTTCTTTCCAATCCCTGCTCCCTCTTTATCCAACCTTCTTCATGACAACCCCCCCCTCTCCCTCCCCCATTCCTAGCTCTCTAAAATCCCCTTGTTTTCCACAATATGTGTCAAGGACATACACTAGGAAGTTGTAGAAGATTCTAAAAGGTTCTAGAGAAGCTTCCTAGCTTGTGGAAGCTACTTGAGAAGCTTTTTAATTCATAGAAGTTGCTTGAGAAGCTTCTTAGCTTGTAGTATATATAGGAGCCGAGACTAAGGGGATCCTCAATCTCGACAATACATCTCTTGGAGCTCTAGCTCACCTCTCTTGTGTTATTCTTGTACTCATCTGATTAATCTAGTTCTTGTTGATTTTTCTTGAGCTTCTTGTTTAGATTTCTAGTCACTATTCTAAATTCGTGACAGTTTGTCGAGACTACACTCATCTTTCGTATCAAAGCTATTTCCTTCTTGTTAGAATGTGGATTATTTCTCTGCTTGAAGGTGCTAGCATTTTAGAAGTTGCGAATTACCCTCCTCTAAACTGATATTTCTTCTATTATAATATTGGAGTCTTATTTTTCTTGGAGAGAATAGATTATCCATCTTCTTGAAGGTTTTAAGGCATTTTAGAAGTTACAAAGTACCTTCCTTAAAACCAATATTGCCTTCTTGTAGAATCATTTCTTTCTTTCTTTTAGAATGGCCGGAGGTCAAGATATTAATATGACTGAAAGTTCGGAGTCCAAGTTGAACGCCATTATGAATGCTCTTGCTACATTATTACAAAGAACTGCAGAGATTGAAGAAATCATTGCAAGAATTCATAATGATGGAGCATCCGGGATGGCACAATCAAGGATTCATTAGCCTCAAGCTTCAGAACTAAGAGAAGCAACTTTGCCTCTAGTTCAACAAGGACCATTGGTCTTACAACAAAAAGAGCCCCAAATTAGCCTTCCAGACAAGTTCGATGGTATATATTCCAGGTTTCGAAGTTTTGTTAATCAAATTAGATTGATAATAGCTTTACAACCCAAATGCTACTTGACGGAGGAGTCACGTGTTGGACTGGTTGGAACTTTGCTCATGGAGCAAACTCTATCATAGTTTGCTCCTTTGTTTGAGAAAGGATTGTCAATTTTGAACAACTTGAAAACTTTTTTGGATTCATTTGCAGAATCATTTAGCAAACGTGACAAGGCACGATGGATTACAAAAAAGATTCGATCACTATGAGAAGGAGTACGCTCCGTGTCAGTCTACGCATTAGATTTCAGACAATTAGTATGCGACATCAACTGGAACGAGGAAGCATTGATGAGTCAATTTTATTAGGACTTGAAGAATGACGTGAAGGATTTGTTATTATGTCTTCTCGATCTGCAAACGCTCAACAAAGCCATTAGTCCAGTTGTGAAGTGAGATAATCGCATATTCCAACGTCACCAAGTCCAATGCTCAAGACAACATACGACTCACCACGCTCCAACTACGTTAGCAAGCAGCATGAATTCACATTCATAGGTGGAAGATATGCAAATTGACACACCACGTGTCAAATTCCTAACCCTAGAAGAAAAAAAGCGGTGTATCAAAGAAGGACTATGCTTGTATTGTGGTGAAGAAGGCCACAGAGCTAGAAACTATCCCAAGAAGCAAAACTGACGCATTGTCAGGACAAGAGATGCGTTTGTTCAGGAAAACGAGGATGCCCAGCTAAAATAGGGACTGTGTGGCTGGACAATTCAATACCACAACAACAATCAAGTTCCTCTCTTTTTGCTCAGCCTGTCCATTGCTTTACCATTCCTCTATCTTTTGGCCCTCAAAAATTAAAAACCTTAGCATTATTAGATTCAAGAGCATCTGCTTGTTTTTTAGATGAAGAATTTGCTAAGTATCACGAGATTCCTCTAGTACAAAAACCTAAACCCGTTCACGTAGAAGTAATAGATGGACGACCTTTATTTTATGATAGTGTCACCCATAAATGAGAATCTATAGAGGTGACGTTTAAAGACCATAGTAGTTATATTATTTTTAATATTATTAGAACCCCATCAAACCCTATTATTCTTGGTCTTTCTTGGTTAGAAATGCATAATCCATACATAGATTGGAGGTTACGAAAGATGACATTTCCTATAGAACATTTCGAGAGTAAGCCTGTTAGAAGAATCCAAATCAAAAAATCCTTATTTATTGGAGCAAGAGTGTTTGTAACATCGTCCAAGGAAGGCACATCATTTGTCATTTATGCAACTCCAACTAGCAGAGAGAAGATTTCGATAGCAAGTATACCAGAGCAATATAAAGATTTTGAAGATATATTTCAAAAGAAGAATGCCGACATGCTACTGGAGCATCAACCATACGATTGTGCCATAGACTTGGAGGAAGGAACACAACCACCTTTTGGCTCAATCTACAATTTTTCACAGATGGAGTTAGCGGAGTTGTAAAAGTACATTGACAAGAATCTAGCCAAGAATTACATTCGTCATTCGAAGTTGCCAACTAAGGCACCAATCTTATTTGTGAACAAGAAAGATGGCTCGTTGCGGATGTGCATGGATTATCAAGGTCTCAAGAAGGAGACAAAGAAGAATCGTTATTTATTACCTTTGATATCAGGTCTTCTAAAGCAACTTGGGCTTGCAAGGATCTTTACAAAGATTGATCAAAGAAGAAGACGAATGGAAGATAACTTTTCGTACAAGGCATGGCTATTTTGAATATAATGTCATGCCTTTCGGTCTTACCAATGCTCCAACGGTTTTTCAACATATGATGAATGACATCTTTGGGAGCACCTTGATGATTTTGTTGTCATCTATCTAGATGATATTCTGATATTTTCTAAGAACATAGAAGAGTATGAGAAACAGATTTGTCTAGTCCTTGAAAAACTCCGCGAGCAAGGACTTTACGCCAAATTGGAGAAGTGCTTGTTTAACCAAACCGAGATAGAATTTTTAGATTCATTGCAACTACAGAAGGTTTAAAGATGGACCCTAAGAAGGTAGAAGCAATTATATCATGGAAAGTTCCAAAGACAATTAGAGATGTACAATGCTTTCTTGACTTTGCTAACTTCTATCAGATCTTCATCAAGAATTATTCTCAACTTGCTGCTCTGTTCACTCGGTTGACATGTAAAGATAAGCTTGAATAAGAATCTCTAGCAAAAAAAATATTTCAAGTCTTAAGACGACATTTACTATGGCTCCAATCTTGGTACATTTGGACTTTGCAAAGGCCTTCTATTTGGAGATTGATGCTTCAGATTTTGCTATGGGAGTTTTACTTTTGTAGATAAGCATAGACGAGAAGCTTCATCCAGTTGCATTCTACTCTCGAAAGTTTTCTGCTGCCAAGATCAACTATGAGATCCATGATAAAGAACTTCTTGCGATAGTAGATTCTTTCAAAGAGTGGCGTCACTTTCTTGAAGGAGCTGCGCATTCAGTGACCGTATACACAGATCACAAGAATTTGGAGTACTTCATGTCAGCTTGGGTTCTAAATTATCATCAAGCTCAATGGAATATGTTGCTATTCAGGTTTGACTTTGTTATTACTTATTGGTATGGGAAGCAATAAGGACTATCCGATGTATTATCAAGGAGATCATATCTAGCGCCAAAGGTTGGAGAAACAATGTTTGATCAACAGTGTATAACATTGTTGAAGTCAGAACAATTCAGGTTTTGCTCTGCTATAGTATCAATTGATGCTGACTTCCTCAACTAGATACGTACTGCGGCTATTGGAGATTCTATAGCCCTCGATATTATTCAACGTGTCAATAATGACAAGTTCAAGGTGGAAGGAGATCTTTTATACTTTGAGGAGCAGTTGTATATTCCAAAGGGACCAGCACGACTCCGAGTTCTTCAATCTTGACACGACTTTCCAGCTGCAGGACATTTTGGATTCAATAAGACCTTGGAACTTATTTCTCGAGATTTTTGGTGGCTCCAAATGTGGAAGGATGTCAAGAATTTCGTCCTCTCTTGTGATATTTTTTTAAGATCTAAGAACCCTCGGCATCGTCCTTATGGCCTTCTTCAGCCATTGCCTATTCCACGTCAGCCATGGTCTTCAGTTTCCATGGACTTCATTACAGACCTGCTGCCATCAAATTCATTTGACAATATCTTTGTTGTGGTAGATCGGCTTACAAAGATGGCACACTTTGTCCCTTGTAAGAAAACATCATCAAGCAAAGACACAATAAGGCTCTTCTTTGATAGTGTGTATCGATATCATAGTTTATCAGATGATATTGTGTTGAATCGAGGAACCCAATTCGTATCAAAGTTCTAGAGATCTCTCTTTGAAATATTGAAGGTAGATATCAAGCTTTCTTCGGCTTTCTATCTTCAAATTGATGGCCAAACGAAAACGGTGAATTAAACTTTGGAGTAGTATTTACGATGCAACATCAACTATCAGCAAGATGATTGGACTGCATATCTATCGTTAGCGGAGTTTACATATAATGACATCCTTCATGCCTCGACTCAACAAACACCATTCTTTTCCAACTATGGGTATCATCCAAAGCTTAATTTGTTGAATCCGTCAACTAATAACAATCCGATAGCTGAAGGATTTTTGAAACATCTATCGAAGCTTCAAACTATGTTGAAGCTTCAATTGCAAATTGCCCAAGAAGCTTACAAAGTGTCCGTAGACAAATTTCAGAATCAGGCACCTACTTTTAAAATTGGAGATAAAATATGGTTGCTTCAACGGAATAACAAAACCAAGCGGCCATGTGATAAATTGGACTACTAAAGATTGGGGCCATTTGTCATCCAAAAGCAAATCAATCCAATGGCATACCATCTGGGATTACCGGCTGATATGAAGGTACACCCAGTCTTTCATGTTTCTTTGTTGGAGCCTTATCGAGAGTCGTCTTTTCCTAGAAGAGTATAATGTCTGCCACCTAATATTGAAATTGAGAACCACGAGGAATACAAGGTGGAAAAGATACTAGATTTGCGGTGTAAGTACGAGAAATTGGAGTACTTAGTGTATTGGAGCGGCTATGATATCAATGAGCGTACATGGAAACTGGGAAAAAATCTTATCAATGCGTCACAAAAGGTATAGGAGTTTCATCGACACTATCTTCAAAAACCTAAGCCCTTTCAATGAAAGTTTTTTAGTGAAGTTCCTTCTCCTTGAAGTCTCTTAATCCTCGGCCTTACAAAGAAGAGGAAGAAGGAACCTCTAAAAGACATAGTTAGAGACTATAAATCTGTAACCTGAGTCCATTCTTCCATGTTTAGTACTTGTATTTTTTGCTTTGATATGGATAGCTAAGAGATAGATACCATATCAGTCATGTCTTCTCAACTGAGTATGTCACGAAGACGACCCCAAGATGAAGTACTGCCTATATTACAAAGACAACAGAGGATACTAAGTAATAGGTCGCTAGTGATTGTGTTTGAGGTAGAATTTGCCTATAGTGATCTTCTCGAAGGGATGTTTGTAGGGTATTTTTACAATGAAGACACAGAAGTTCATGCTTGGTAGAAAATCGAAGGCGTAGGATACTATCATTGGTTACAAGGACCAATGAACTACTTGTCGCGCGAATAACAATTGGAGTATATTATAGACACTATGCCACAAATTTTCAACTTCTTACATTGGTACTGACTCGCAATAGGAGTGCTTTTTGGAGACCTCGAAGCTAAAGGAGGGGGGTGATGTCAAGGACATACATTAGGAAGTTGTAGAAGATTCTAAAAGGTTCTAGAGAAGCTTCCTAGCTTGTGAAAGTTGCTTTAGAAGCTTCCTAGTTTGTGGAAGCTACTTGAGAAGCTTCCTAACTTGTAGTATATATAGGAGCCGAGATTGAGGAGATCCTCAATCTCGACAACACATCTCTTGGAGCTCTATCTCACCTCTCTAGTATTGTTCTTGTACTCATCTGATTAATCTAGTTCTTGCTGATTTTTCTTGAGCTTCTTGTTTAGATTTCCAGTCAGTATTCTAAATTCGTGACAATAAGGTGGATCAATTCAATAAATAGGTGAGTCAATTTAATAAATAGGTGATTTATTTTAACATTTCCTTACCTACTTGTATTGTGGTAACACAAAGTTTTAATAGATTTGATTTTGAAGTAGATCTTTTATACAGAATTGTATGTGGTGGAAATAAAATAAATAAAATAATAGATTTAACATAGTGGCTTTACAAAAAGAAACTACAAAAAATCAATTCATTTTTTTGTACATAACAAAGATGCAAAAATTCTTAAATAAATTTAAACTAAGTTGAATCAATAATAATTATAAAACCTACTATTGCTTCTAATTGATTAGTAGAAAATTGTTGGTTTTTAGATGTGAATGGTAGTAATCTATAAATAATCTGATTTACGAATTAATTTTAATTCATCTAATATGTTCTTCTAAGAAGAAAAAAGAAAAAATAAGATTAATAATTAATTATGCCACCTCAAGTCTCTTTCTAATTAGATTATGTTTTTACAACAACCAAAATGTTTTTCTCAAAAAAATGCTTAATAACATTTTAATTTCCACATCTTTTTCCTTCTTTTGCTTCTATTCAAATAACCAACTATATCAATTTACAAGTTATTAGAAAAACAACCTTATAATATCTTGAATTTAGTAGAACTTTTTTTTGTAGAGTTTTTTTAAAAAATCATTTCATATTCTACAGCAATTTAAAGTAGAGCACTCCATAATTTACATTTATATATAAAATAAATTAATAAAATAATCAAAATGTACATTCTACTTTCATATATATTATCAATATTGTCTATATAGTTGATTGTAATGTTTAAGATTGGACTTGTTAAGCCAAATTAAATTATGTTATTTATAATTTTTTTTCTTTTTTTTACAAGTAATTTTTTGATTTGAAAGAAAGGAAATAATATAAAGAAAAAATATTTTCTAAATAGTTATGTATGTGTTAGATTTTCTCATAAACACTTAAATTCTTAATAATACATTAATTCCAAAACTTGGAAAAAACTAAAAACAGTAAACTAGGAAGGAAAAAAAGATTACTATTATCCAAATAGTGTTCAATATTATTAAACTAATTGAATCTATTTTAATTGTAAATTTTATTAATTTTATTTTTTTTTGGAAAAATTCTAATTCATAATTATTCCATCCACCCCTTTCCACAAGCAAGAAAAATAAATATACTATTCTATTAGAAATTAGTTATTAAAATATAATATGAGAGAATAAGATAAGAAATCAGCTAGACCCGAAATTTATACATTAAAAAACCTCTAAATTGCGGTGTTCACACCGCCATCGTCATCGATTCTCCATAGCTGCCCGGTTTTGGGGGGAAAGAGACTTTAAAGTAAAAGTAAGAGAAAGATGGACTTTAAAATTAAAAAGAGAGATAGAGAGCATTAGGGTTTCGAACAAGGCAAGCGAAGCTCGAGCTCGAAGTCCTCTTTCGTCGTCCTCGCAGCGTCGTCGCTTCCCTCGGAGCTCCCCCCTTGCGCTTGACGTCTGCCCTCTCTTCGTCGTCCTGCCGCCATGGTATGTGGATCTCAATTGCTCTCTGTTCCCCCCCTTTTGCTGGTCTTGTTCCAATTTCACTTGCGGTATTGTTGTTGTTGTCTTAGCCGCCTTTTTTTGTCTTGTGCAATTTGCCCTTTTCGTTCGTTTTCGAGGTTTAAGGTCGTTTGTCGGCCTGCTCTTCTCGGTTGTTCTGTAAGTTCACGGCTACAGTAGCTATGGAGTATCTCGTTGGTGCTTTTATACCTGCATTTCCCTTTTCTGAAAATGTTAACAGACTGGTTGGCTCGGTTCTAGACTTGACAGTGACTGCAGATCTGAGGGTGATTCGCCACTCACATATATATATATATATATATATATATATATATATATCTTGTTGGTCGTCTCTTAAATCATTTTCTGCATCTTTTTAGAGAGGAAATGCGTTGGTAATTGTGCAGTTTATGTTTGTGTCTAGTTTTTTTAGTATGAGGAAGAACTCTGTTGGGGTTCTGTAACTCGATATCTCTTTAGACTACTTTTTCTGTGTCTGTGGATGCGTGTGTCAGATTTCGTCAAGATAGTAATTAGAGATTTGATTGGGCTCATGCGTTGTCGATGATTGTTCTATACTGTTTCTATACCTATTTGGATCGTACATCTCTTTGGGAGAAGTATCCCCGACAAGAGTATGTATTGAATATATTTGTGTAAATCTGTGCAGGATTCCGCCGTGAAGCTTGCTATTGTCATGAAGGTGATTGGCCGCACCGGGTCCCGAGGTCAGGTGACCCAAGTGCGTGTGAAGTTTCTGGATGATCAAAACCGACTTATCATGCGCAACGTGAAGGGGCCAGTGCGTGAAGGTACAAACCTTGTCTGTCCTGTTCTACTCTTGTGGAATATCTCATGTTGTGGTCTCCGTCCTTGCAATACCTTTCAGGGTCGTCGGTTTTCAGGGTTTCTTTAAGGAATAATTTTAGGTGCGATTGTGAACCATAAATTAATTACGGTAAGATTAAGGTAATCATTTGTCCCAGGTCGAAAATCATGTTTCTCTTTCACCTCTGTTTGTGTGCCTATTGCATAGGTTCGGGATTAGCCTGCTCTGTAGATTATTCTGATTTAAATTTTGGAGTGTAACCGGCCTGAGAATCTGTGGTACAGTATAGGTGTCTTGGATGAATGTGATGAATGCATTGGTCCGTGTTTCTGAGGAAAGTGTAACTTTCTCTTAAGAAATACATTGCTCTTTTGCCTGCTGATTCACTTGGTATCTATGTGTGCTTGGTGTGAATATCATCTAAGCTTGGAAAGATTGTGGTAGTTTTTTAGTTAGTTAATTTCCACATTTTCACTCGTGCCTTATTTTGTAGCTTATTCATGAATAGTAGAAATTAAGAATTTGGTTCCTATTTTTGTGTTTGCAGGTGATATCCTGACTCTTCTAGAGTCTGAGAGAGAGGCAAGGAGGCTTCGGTGAAAAACCCGAAACTAGCGGTTTCCTAGCCTGATCTTACTGTATGCAACCGGAATACTAGGATGCATGGTTTTACTGCATTACTAGTATTTTGATGGCTGATGTTTAGTATTTTAATGAGACGAAACAGGAGTCTGATGTCTCCAAGCATATTAATTGCGCACTAGACCTTATCTTACGCTCAGTTCTATGTGATTACAATTCAGTTCTGCTTGTATTTGTGGGTGTTGACTTTGTATGCAATGCCTCAGAAGCCATTTGGCGAAACAGGGTCCTTTTCCTTGTACACATTCATTAAGTTACTCGCCGTGGTTGTTATGATATACTCCCCTCCAGAGAGGCCGCTCCGTTCGTCCATGTATTATTGTTTTGTAAAGTTTTTTACGCGATAAAATACAGCTACAGCAGCGACATTCAAGTCACATCGTTTTAATAAGTACAGAACATTATGGCTTCATGTATCTTCATAGATCTTCTATTTATCGGTAAGTGCGTACAGCCTTGAAAGGAGTCTTATTATATGCGAAGGATGATCATTCAAGATTCAAGTCCAAGAAGAAAGTAAAATCATGTGATGTTACGTATTGCCAGTTCAAGCCACGTACATTGCAACGTACAAGTCTTTATTGCCACATCAGAAAGAGCCTGAGATTATTTCGCGCTTATCATTTCCTCACGCCATCAAATAATTTGGACACATCTGTAATAACTAGCGCTTCATTGGACCAGCTCTGGGTAATACTCGTAGTTGAAGAGTAGCTAAATGTTCGGATTTTATCGTACTGTCGATGTCAAAAGCATGTTCTAATTGCAGTAATTTGTACAAGTGTTTACAGTCATACTAATGGTTTACCATCAATATCGATTAACCATTACTAATCTCTATCATACCATCATTAAGTATAATGATAATTCTTTCCAGTATTTCACTTATCTTCCGAAGCAAGCGCCATTTATTAAACAACAATCGATGATATATCATTAAACACTAACAATCAGCCAAATTATATTCGTAGAATGTACCTTACAGAACCCAGTTTTTTTTACCACATGTGAGCAGGAAACCTGAGAAAGTTTACTCTCACTCCTCAATACACGTGAACCATATAGCCCACATTCATGTGCAGACAACAAACATACACACACACACACACAAGTAAAATTATCTATCCATTTATTTATGTATCTATATCTATATATATGTATTTAGACTTGTACAGTAAAATAGCGCAATCCACATACGAAACTAACCCCATGTGAGAAGGGATCTGAACTCATTGATAGATAGACCTTCAGTTTCGCCGCAGCATTGCGGAGCTCATACTTGGTGGGTACTTTGCTGGTAGACGCTTTGCTTTCCAGAGCTTCAATCACGGATTCAATCGCACTTTGCACAAGCTTTACTGCATCTCTAGAGAGTGTCGAAAGAGAAGATGTGGCCGCGTGACCGCTTGCTCGCGGGCTAAAACTGGTGGGGGTACGAGGAGGAGTGTTTATGGGATCGTATGAGTCTCAGATTTAGCTCACAGGGGTTGGGGGGGTACAAGAGGAGTACCAGGAGAGACGCCATTGAAGGCGACGACAGCAAAGGATGGCAGCTCCATGCCGGCCTGTCACTTCTCCACAATGAGCTCCATCAAGCAGCTGCCAAAGCTCAGGACGCTCCTCCATGCGAATAGGCTCCGTGGCGCTGCATCCGCCTGCAGTCTCATTTAAGAGCGCCGCCGGAAGCTTGCCGCGAGATGTGGCACCACCAGCAGCGCGGCCTGTGATGGCCTGGGACGATGGAGCCCGTGAAGATCCTCCCTCCGTCACGGATCCACAACTTGCCGAATTTGTGCTGAAGGGACTGCTCCTTAACTCACGACATGAGTTTAAACAGGGGGCGGTGGGGTGGGATTTTCTTCACTGTTTTTGTGAGCTCGAGGGAGGCATCACTTGGACGAAAACCCCATCTGGAAGCCAAACTCGCGAGGCAAAGGTTTTCGTATCCAGCCCCGGCGAAAGAGTGTACGAGGTTCTAGGAGGAATTGGGTAGTGCATGGTTTATGTCGGAGTGTGATATGGATGCGGAAGCCAGATTAGGGGAGTGTGATGAATTCGTCGGTGTTGAGGAAAACTAGAGCAGCTTTCACTATGTTCTGCTGAAACCAGATTGGTGTGGGGATTTGAGGAGAATTGATTGCAATGGCCTTATTGACATGGCTGCTGCTGCTGCTGCTGCTTCTGCCCCTACTTTTCCATGTCGACACCGCAAATGCCACCTCCCGCGTCATACTTGGTGAATTTGTTTTCTCCATTATAACTCTCAAGAAGAGCCCCTGGGCACATCGATGGTCATTGCTACTGTGATAAGTGGATTGTTAAGTTATTCTGTGGAAAAGCGATTGTTCCGGGTTTAAAAGCTGAGAAGGGTAACGCATTGTGGAATTGGATTCTAGCTTACTCTCTAGAAATATAATAGATCATTCATTTTTTATTTATTTATTTATTTTTGTGTAGGAACTGAAGCAGTCTTGGATTCCGAATCACGTCTACCTGCGACAGACTACACAGATATTGATCAATCGTTGTTCATATCAAAGTCCAATTCCAAGGTACCACAATTTTCAGCCGAGACTGCCACACCCATCTCGTATTCAAGTCAACGATGTTGTTTTCCCAACACGAGAACACGAAGTCACGTATTGTTCTACGGTGTGTGGGATTCACCAAATTTAAGCAGTAGATGTAACCGAACAACCAATTATATTTTCAGCAATTTGAACCCGTGTTTTTCACCAACTATTGATTATTCTCTGGCTAACACTTAACCTTCTCTCAGCGCATACTCTGGTTTCACAGTGTGTGTGTGTATCTATCTATCTATCTGTACAGTTGTTAGAAAGATGACACTAAGATTATGCCACCAGAGCAGTTTTAACCATATGCAAAAGTTTGCATTTTGTTTTGGTTGCAGATAGAGACTGAGGGGATTTCACCTGTGAAGGCTCCCAAGCCCAGCAATGAGAAACGGCTATTAATTGGCTCTTCAGCCCCGGAGTGCGGCCACACATGTGGGGCATGCTCGCCTTGCAAAATCCAAATTGTGAGCTATGAATGCGAGGAAGATTTTGGATCGCACGCGGAAGCTTGTCCGTTGGGCTACTTGTGCCTCTGTCATGGCAAATCCTTTCCCATCCCTTGACGGTCCACACGCAGCTCTATGACTGTTTTCTAAACGGGCAGGCGTCGGAGGATCTAATTGAAGAATGTATCTGCTCCCTCATTTTGTAAATATTCACAGAAGGTCATGTGATGATATCCTTTGATTGCAGGGATTAGCTGAATAGATCACATTTGAAAGGCTCGGGATAATTTACAACCTTCGCATCCACAAGCTGAAACAATTGTAATGGACATGACTGAACTTTCCATTCGACTTTGCATGAACTAGGTATCTAGTTTGAGAGATCATGACTTGGCAATTGAAAGAGCCGGTGAGAGTTATTCTGTTTAATAATAACGAGTTTCACAGGTTTCTACCCCGAATATGTAGTCCACGCCATATTGTAATGGAACTGCAGAGTGAGAATATGAGTGTTATGAAAGAACATTGTTCAAATATTATACACGGAGTCTAACAAAAGACCCCCATTGCTCAACACAACAGTATTCAACTCTCTTCAAGTTGTAATCAACATCAGTGGAAGCCCTCCTCCAGGGTTGCTGTCCCAAAAGCTACTTATTTCTCGCTCCTAGCTTCGATTTGAACCCTATACTATTGAAGATAGTACTCAAATTTTAACCTTCACCTTGTCAAGTAAACCTTAATCTCAAGTGATGTCTCTAAAACAGTTCGTAATACAAAATACATTGGACCAACTTCAAATTCTTGGAAGTCCTTCATCAACCCAATAAGCTGCTGGTCCCACAAGGAGACTACTCTCCCTCAATCTACCTGAAGAACATGGTCTGAGGAAATCTGAGAAACATAAAGCTTCCGTCAAAAGCCCAGATATCCCTCTTACTATACACAGCGCGCAAATGGAAGGAGCAACCAAATATAAAACCTTCGCCCAACCCGATGAGAGAATTTCTATGCATTTGACCTTAGGTCACTGATTTCGCTCTGAGGAGTGCCTGGTAGGCTCTGCTGCCCCCCGTTAACCATTGGCTGGTTAAGGGAATTATGTGACTGTGAATGAACCTGACCCGCAGGTTGTGGAGTAAGCTGTTTAGAAAGTGTTGGAAATGACGTTTGTTGCGACAGCTGATTGAAGATAGGTGACGCAGCATGGTCGCCGCTCAGAGCAGACGATGGAATTTGGCTCATTGTTGACTGCCCTTGAAGTTGAGAAAGTGCTTGCGCGTGGTTGAGTTGGAGATGTACCTGATTCCCAGGAAAAGACTGAGAATTACCACCAGCACCCCCCGAGTGAGCACGTTGCGCAGAAACCGGACCTTGTGACTGAGTAAGTCCCTGAGAAACCGTTTGAGCCTGCAACTGCCCAGGCAACCCATTGCTGTGATTAGAATTCCCGGAGTGAGCCTGCGAACTTCCAGACAAGTGCAAAGGTCCCGGTGGCTGCATCTGGTTGTTATATGGTTGTCCTGCTTGCACTAAGCCCAAGTTTCGAGCGTCCATTTGACCGCGTAGCTGTGACTGGTAAAGGTTTGAAAACTGGGCCATTTTTGACGTATTCGGATCTCTGTGAACTTGAGCCACAGTACCAGGTTGTATCTGACCGAGGAGGTGACCTTGTAATTGAGAAACTCCTTGCTGTCCATTTGCCGTCATAACCTGTCCACCTGGATGTCTTGAAACTTGTCCTTGCTGTTGTTGCAAGTAAGGTATCGACTGACGAGGGGTACCTTGAGTGAAACGGTTTATTAAAACCGTAAGTGACGGTTGATTGGGAAGATTCGTAAGCAAGCCTTGTTGCTGCAATTTTCGAGCACTTGGAAAATCTATTAAACTCTCTGTTGCATACCAATGACGAGTTAGTAACCACTGTTTATGAGGCACCACAATTTCAATGGCAACCTTAAACTTACTGCCTACAAAAAAACATGCTACTTGAGAACAAAAAAAAACAGTTGGCAAAAGAATCATACGAATAGGTCCACGGTGAGTCTTCTTCTCAAATGAAATTAAGTCTTTCATGCTGTTCACAACTTCAGATATCTGCAACGGGAAGTCAAGTTACTTATTCATGCACAGGCACATTCGCGAAGTAATGTCTAGCAATCTCCCATATCAATAAATTTTTCATACTAAATCATACAAAGAATGTGCTAGTACATTCACTGGTGTAGATGTTTATGACATAAAAAAAAAAATTTAAACATTGGAACTGTTGACAGCACCTGCAAACATCGCACATATCGTTTTGAGAAGCCAAGGTCATTGACCATGGGTGCGTCTAGCTTTACAGCGAGCTGCCTTGCTGTAGTCATAAACCTGCACCCACATCATAGGGTATCAATTACAGTTCTCTTTGCATTTAGTTATTTCATAGAATATAAGGAACAAGACAGGTAAACTAACACCATTCATTATCTGGCTTGCTCAATATAGCAAAAGACACGAGGTATGCTTGAACAAAGAAAATTACTGAAACCTACATATCCTCGTGTGATTATATTTTACATTGATATTGACCATAGTTAGGAAGGGCGAAAGGAATAATAAATCAATCAAAAGGTATTTTATCTATTTTCAAAAGAAATAAAACAGAAGGTACGCACGCGTTGCAGTGTTTACTCAAATTCTCCACACTTTTGTTGAATCCCTCCTGTTCAGCCTCCATGACTAGGTTGTCTAGCTGTTGAGCCTATTCACAGAGTCTTAAGTATTAAGAACATATAAATCCCAACACATTACCAAGAAACCACAAATGGCTGGTGAGCAGTTTGTTTCCACAAGGCTGTACAATGCAACCGAATTAAAAAGTTCACAGGACGCTCTACCTGGTCTTGCAGGTTTTTGATTGGCACTACTTCATCATGGCTTTTTGTACAGAACTCCCAAGCTTGAATCTGATGACAGTACAAGAATATTATAAAGTCAGAACATTACCCTTTTCTAGCACTGGTAGTAAACATTCAATGAGAGAGAGAGAGAGAGAGAGAGAGAGAGAGAGAGAGAGAGAGAGAGAGAGAGAGAGAGATAAAAACACCTTATACGAAGGACTAATAGTCACTCGGAGCGTTCCATATCTGATCACCTGCGAAGCAATCGCGAAAACTGGTTAAGTATTACAATTCCTATTACGCATATACAATTTTACAACTGAACTAAACGACAAGAAAACCCGCGTTAAGAATCGTAATGATGGTAAAACTTTAATATTAAACCATCATAGTTATTAAGAAATACAAATATGAAAATGAAAACATACGCAGAACGTGAGGGGTTTCTTTGCCACCACCCTCCCAACACCCAAAGAAATGTATTGCAGTTGCCTTCAGTGCATGTCCAGAATCAAGGATATAAATTGTGAGCATTTAAATAGCATTTCAAGAGAGACGCTACATACCCTCAATTCAGCAAATATTGATTCGTGCACTGCCCCGGAGTACTCCAGGATCATTTTCCCAGAGGGCAAAACATACCTGATCACCAAGATAAATTCGTCCATCAGTAATTAAAAAAAGAAAAAAAAAGAAAAAAAAAAAAAGGTGATGCTTGAAATAAGTATCGGAGTACACCCAATCAATCACATTACTAGACATTACTTTCGAGAACAGTGGGCTAATCCAGAAGACGAGCTGAGGTCAAGTTCCTTTCATGGATAAAAGCAATTTTACAAAAGTCAAGTATCTGATCAATAAGCACTGCGAGTAGGCGAGGTTCCAAATTATCAGGTTAAATTATTATCACCCTGTTATCATATAGTTTTGGTTCCAAAGCTGGTTATGTTTGCTGTTTAGTGAGGCTTTAATCAGAGTGATGAACATGATCGAATTCAAACAGATAGACAGATAGAAATGAACATACTCTTCAGCCCGATCCAGGAATAGGAGCTCGTCTTGCAGACCACTGTCATACTTGATCTTAAATAGCCGAGGCAGAACATCCGTGCAGGATTCTGTTCACATCAAGAGCTCAATAGTTCAGATCCTCATAGATACCAACCTTACGTGTTCCACTGCATTTCAATTATCTCTATCATGGACTAAATATAAAACTTGGTAAAACAGATGAAGTAAATATTGAAAGAACATACCAAAACCTCGTCCTGGTTGCACACCACACAGGTTACAGAACCAAAACTCCTGCACAACATCCACAAATATGGTTAGTCAAACCTATACCAGCTCAACCAACAGTAATGAATGCAACCGAACTATGATATCAATTGCCATAAGACGATAGACGCTATAGAAACACGCATAAAATCCATGTGGTAGGTAATCTTCCACTCAATGATCTGGGTGATAATTTATTACCATAGGGAAGAGACCCTGAGCATGCCGACCAACAGGAGAAGTATTGTAACTGCTTAAGCACCAGCGCTTTAAAGCTCCAGGTTCAAAAAATGTGTGTACAAGTCTCTGCCAAAAAGCGATATTGTTATCCTGCATAGCAACGTATAAAGTGTCAGATGGGTGACAGTAGAGTAAGACATTGCATCACACATCGCAGTCCAAAGACAACAGACGTAGTACAGATAAAATAAACATATAAAGAAAGGAACACCGTCTTTTTCTGCGCATCAAGATGACAAGCAAAAGAGAGCGCGATCGGAATCCAACCAACATTGAAGTGAACTATTCTTTAACTAACCAAAGTTGAACACTTACTGCAGGACGTTTCCTTTGCTCTTGAATGTATAGCATGATTCTATGATTACATTCTGCAACAACTGCTGGTAGCATACGACTTCTGTAACCATTTTCCATGCTTCCGCCTTTCAACATTGAACCTTGAACAAGATGCCGGTTGTTAAGCTTAAGACCCTGTAAAAACTGATTTTGCATTCCAGGCTGCAAACGAGCGATCATTTGTTGTGCAGCTCCGGTTGATGGTAAGCCATTTGCCACCTAAGACAAAGATACAATGGACTGTGATCAACAGGATGACCCTTTCAATATTTGAGAGTATAGGAGACCTGAAAGCTAGAGAGAACCATGACGCTGGAGAGCGAAACTGGACATTGGGGATGATTTATCATCACAAATTAAATAAATAGACAAATAAATAAAAGCATGTGCTAGGCTTCCACACAAAGATGAGTAAGCAAAAAGCAAGGATACTCAAGGAAAAGCAGCTGATAAGCACCATGTGCAATCTTTCGCCCCCACTTGGTGCCAAAAAATCATCCTAATCATGGACTGTATAACAACATGCTGCTCACCTGGAATGCCTGTGCTTGACCTGACTGAAACTGTTGTTGCTGCAACAAGAGCTGATGCTGAGAACTAACTCCTTGTTGTGCTTGTCGGGCTTGAAGTATAGCTGCTTGATTAGCTGCCGCTTGATGCAGAGCCGCTTGCTGGTTAGCTGCTTGCGCCTGTGCATGTGCCTGTGACATTGCTTGGGCCTGTGCCTGTGCCTGAGCTTGGGCTTGAGCTTGTGCCTGAGCTTGCGCCTGTGCTTGTGCTTGTGCGTGAGCCTGAACCTGAGCCTGAGCTTGAGCTTGGGCCTGAGCCTGAACATGGGCTTGAACTTGCTGCGCACATGAAATATCTTTCTGAGCTCAGTCACAACTAGTGTATGGTCAAAACCATACACATCCATGTAATTTTTTAAAATAAGAGCAAAAAAAGAAAATAAACAGCTTTGAAAGTGTAACAAGACACTCGGAGAGTAAGGGAATTTGACACAACAAAGCTAAGCGCAAATGCACTCTAACGTTGATATTCTAAAAAATTCTTAAATAAGCAATACAACCACTTGATCGTTTCTGTATAACCAACACAACTAGTGCCTGTGAGTTTCGGCAGGACATCATCGAATACATCGGAAGGATGCAAACCTGAGCTTGGTAAGATGAAAGTTGATTTGATGATGCCATTTGCATGAGGGACTGTTGAGAAGGCGAGACCTGAAAATGTGCTAAATGGTTCGCATGGCTCTGTCCTGCAAAATTGGTCTGCTGTGGTACTCCACCCAAGGACTGAAGATTACCTTGAAAATTCCCTCCTTGCATCATGTTCAAGTTTCGAAGAGATTGCTGGCCTTGGAAACTATTCTGTTGCGTGAGCAGTTGAGCTCCTTGAAAATTTGCGAGTGCACGACTCTGACCTTGTTGCCCACGCTCTTGACTAGATTGTGATACATTACCTTGTCCTGGGCCAAAACATTGTACAATACCATTGTTAGCACCAAAAGGTAACCTGTTCGAGAACAATCTACCACTTAATCGATGGCACATTAGCGAGAGAGTGTACCACTGCTGTAGGCCGACTGTGGACTGCTCATCTCTCCAGCCTGATAGTTCCCTGACTGCGTCATTCCCACGAGTTGGTGGGTGACACTACGGTTAACTTTAGTATCTCCTTCAAGCCCAGACTGCTGGCTGCTTGTTGGGCCCCCATCAAAACCTGATAACTGATTAGAGGATGTCGGCCCATGAAAACTGCCTTCTTGATAAGCCAAATCTTGAGAGGACCTAATAAGTGTTGCTTGGGCTAATGAGTCCTGCGGATACTCTGCTTTCACTCCCTCCATGCCATACTCCGTCTTCACGCGTTTCATATCAGGATATTCTGACTTCACGGCAGTGATATCCAATGGGTGCTGAGGACTACGTATTGGCACCTGAGGTGATCTAGGGGTGATGCCTTGACCTACCTCACTAGAATATGATTGCAACGGATCTCGGCTGCCCCCCTGAGAGCCTCCAGAATGTTGACTTGTACTCATCACCGCCTGGTACTGATTGCCACTCATTGCCTGCAGGACATGTGAATTGGCAGCTACTCTTCCGTCGTAAGCAACCTGTTGCTTGGGCTGGTGTGCTGCCTGTCCAGAAGGGCCTTGACCTTGTGAACTTTGCAAGACTTGTGCCTGCTGGGTACTTGGTGTCCCAGGTCCCACGATAGTTGTGCCCGACCACTCATCGGCTGGAATTAGGCCACCATTCATCATTGCTCTTGGTGGCAAAGATTGCGACTGTGACGGGGGGATGAGGGTGGCCGAACCCACATTACGGCCAAACGAGTTCTGAGAATTTGAATCAAAAAGAGAGGATGAAAACTCGGAAGTTATGTTTGAAGAGAAAGAAGAGTTTAAATTTCTCAAATCGATGGATGCTGATGGACTAGGGTGAGAGAGCGGAGAAAGGAGATTCTCGCTATTGTTGTTCACCTGAGTACCGTACTGCTGTAAAGGATGCGGAGAATGAGATACACCTACATGTTGCCCACGCAAGTCCATAGCCGATGGCCCATTGTACCTGGCCATTCTTTCCAATCAAGGTCCAATATTTATGGCATTACTCCTACTTCCTGAAATCTCAGCTTCGGGGCTTGATCTCAGCCATAAAACGATTCAAGAAGATTTTCTGCTCTAGTCTTTCCATTACACGAGGAAACGTACAATTTCCGCAAATATGAGCGCCAATCAGGGAAGTCAACTCACGCTCTACAACCACACCTGCCTGAAATAACTTAAACTACACTATCTCGTGGCCTCATCAACCAAACTCGGTTCGAACATTCAGTCCCACCACCTAATCTCTGTCTTGTGAAATTTCTTTGACAAACATACAGGGTTGAAGGCATGCATCTCAACGCCGAGAATCTCTGAAAGTAGTCTTCCTGTTGTCTCCACAAATTGTCCATCTCCTCATCTCTATTCCTGTAAACTTTTTGCGAACCGAACTAGCCCACCAACCCCTCCATTCCAACTCGCGAGTGTAAAGACCTTGATGCTCATACAGCTCAAAACGAAGCATCCATCATTATCGCAAATTGTTGGCAACAACTTGCCTGAATAACCCAGAGTCACCTCTGCAACTGTCGGAGCTAGAGTGTACACAATAAGGAGATGCTGCACGATTCCAAAATTTCTTATACATATATATACATAAATATTTATGTATATATATACATGTATATACGCATTAAAAGTGCCTTAATTCGTCCCCAGAAAACGCCTCAAAGATACTGAAATCACGTATGTATAGAGGACACCATTGTACGTCTCAAGGTTTCCACATAAGGGTGTTCACTTGTCTGCCACAAATCTGCAACACCACCATTTAACAAGCATAAGGTCAGTCCAAGAAATGAACGACACCCAACTCTCGACAAGAAGGATGCCAAATTCGTTCTGAGCACACTTAAGTTTCCACCTCCTCGGAAACGTTCATTGTGCCTGCACTATGTGCTTTCGCTAGTTCTAGGATAAAGTCACGAAACACGGCGCCAGAAAAACTTTCTATTCAAACACACGTGGTTGCACGAAAAGGACGCAATCTAGCACCAACATTGTCAAGCTAAACCGATTCAAAACAGTTTGGAATCGATCTTTTACAAAACGACATGGAAACAGTTTGAGTGGGATTGACAGTAAGGCAGCGGCACATCTGCAGTATTACCCACTAACTCTAATACAAAGAGCGGGCTAACGCACGGGGGAGCATAGAAGCGGCCTGGTTGGCTACGGGACACAGTGATGAGCCCTCCACTGATTCAATCAGTCCCTCGCAAACAAGAAGGAATTAATCCTAACTAGCACCTTGGGTAAGCTACAGTAGGCCCTTCCCTCTCGTTCTTGGAAAAACGACATTATCTGCAGGTGCGCAAACATCATCGTTCTTTGGGCAAATACATCACTCAATCGTAACTCGAAGGACACGTACTATTTGGCTGCAAACTTGATAACTCCAATATCCACCCTTGCGATTCTTCTGTCACATAAGAAAGTTCACTATACCCTTGACTAATCATACAAACTTTTGATACGCACACTAAAATAAAATAAAAATGTGAGCAGGCATGCTTCTCCTGCTTCGAGGAGCCTTCACAGCAAACCCAATATGACAGCTTGAAATCGTTGCTGGCCAACCGCTGTGTATATGCCTGAGACCAACAGTAACCCCAATCCCGCTCCAGACCAATCAATCTCTCTACTAGAACCCCTGTTCAAAGCTCTCGCCACACTTGCCCAACCTCATCCCGTAGTAACTGATGACAACAAATAGCTCGATAACTCAGACTTCAACAGCCAGGTCTGACCTGAGACACACCCGGCATACGGACCTTGCGTCGAAGATGGACGTGTACTCGCGCGTACTCCTCTCAACCTCGCCGTTTGTGTCTAGTTTCAACTTCTCCTTGCATTATATTACCCTTAACTCGCTAACCCTCACCAAACTCAATCCAGATACTAATCCTTTTCGCTCACGAAGCTTTATTGCCTCTCTTCGCAAGCTAACGTCTACAAACCTAAACAAAGTCCAGCGCTAACAGTTCCTGCACCTATGCACCCATTCCGAATCAGTCCCCATAATACATCTTCGCACGGGTGCCCGAGTAAAGCTGTCAACAAGATCACGACACACTCGAGCACGCAAGGGATTGTAGGTCATCACACCTGAGCTTCAATGAACTCCGAGGATCCTTCGAGCACTGACACACACCTAAAACGATGCAAATCTAGCCGCCAACGGAGCCTCAATGATCCAGTAAAAGAGGCAGATGAACAACACCGTTAATCATGATCGACACGAATCGCAGAAAGGTTCCAAGAGTAGCCTAAGACCGTCACTCTACCAGAAGGAAGACGTAACATTTTACCCCACAAAAACAGAATCATAAAAAATAAAAATAAGAAAATGTAAAATAAATTGAAACTAGACCCAATAAAGGTCCTTGCATTCAAACCACACCAACTTAAGTATCAGGCTGGGAAACTACTGTCCCCCTAGGAACGAACTGCGAGTGAAATTAGGGTTGGAGGTTTGACACCAACTTGGAACATAACACTTGCAGCTGCTGCAAAAGCTCGTCACGCCAACTCAAATCCCGGATTTCCTCAACCCACGAGAGTTGAGAATTGCTTTAAGATGGAAGAAGAAGAGCCGGGTTCAGAAATAGCGGCCGCGTGCCGCCGTAGCACACCGAATGTCAATGGATTTCCGCCTAACCGCAAAACGCTACTACTCGGAGGCTGGCAAAAAAGAAAAGCATCTCAAACCTGGCTGGCCCAATGACACATGAATTGCGAGCGATTGATTCTGTGGCACCGCGATGCGACAGCAATGACGGGATGCGATAGATTGTCACATGTATTGATGATAACTGCGTTGTGTGTGTACAGCGAGCGAGTTAGCGAGCAAGCAGGGGACCGAGGGCTTGGCCGTGGGACCAGGGCACCCATCGCCATAGCCGTGTTCTTAAAGCTTCCTTCCTTCCATTCCTTTCTTTTTACTTTCTTTTCATTTCCTTTCCTTCCTTCCTTTCTTTTGCCTTCCCCCTTTTCCGTGCCCGTCCCGACCCGACCCGGCCCGGCTCGACCCAGCCCAGCCCGCGACGTTCCTCACCCCGCTGTTTCCGCGGGCAGTCCTGGCCCGCGCCAACGTCCCTTCCACTGGTCGCCCGGAATTCTCTCAGGCGGCTGCGAGGCTGACCAGGCTGAGCGCCCGCCATTTCGTGGGGTGCCGCCTGTGACTTTGTCATTCGACCATCTTCAGCGTCATCTCAGTGGGTGCACATCGGCGGCGTGAGATGACGGATGGATGGATGGACGGATGGGTGGATGGATGAGTTCTTTTCCATTGTCTAAATCCATTTGTCCTCGTGGGATGGATATGTGTAAAGATGGATGTGTCTCATCTGCCACCCGTTCTGGGTTCGTTCCCCAGCGTTCGAGAGCGAGGTGGCGCCCGTTTCTCTATTCCTGGCTGGATTCCGATCCAGAATGGGCGCCTGGTCCCAATCATTGCTGCACACATGTGATGGATGACCTCAGCCTCCTCGTATGTAAATTAGGGTTTGATCGCCCCCACTGCGAAGACTGCAGAGATACCCAGTAATTACAAAATAATGATAATAAGAATAATTAGAATGATAACAATAACAATAACTTGTGAAAATTATCAATGCATCCTAAGGCAGAGGAAGTAGAATTTATTTTGTAACAATGGTGAAAAACATGTGTGTGTATATATAGAGAGATAGATAGGAAAAAATTATATATATGCATATATTATTTTTTAAAATTTTATTTTCAATGTTTTTTGAAGATTGGAAACGAATTAAGAAAAAAAAAATTATAAAATCCTAGGGTATATTTTAAAAGGAAGGGGATTGTAAATGGTGTAGCTCTACCAAGTGATGGAAATGAAGCAATGAAGTATACATGTATGTTAAAAAAAAACAAAGTAAAAAAGGTAGTTGTGTTTTAAATGGGATTTATACGTTATTCCACATAAAAGCATCAAGTATGGGTTTTTTATTCTTTATTCTTCACTTTAGTTTCTAAGCACCTTGTTTTGAATTGCAAGATTAGTATAATGTGTTAACTATCATTGAGAAGGTTCCTAAGCATACCAAAAAAATCAAATTTTTTAATATGTGTTTTTTCAGTGCAAACATGTTGTAATAATTAAGTTTGATTGTTTTTTAAACCATTTAACATTAATAAGTTTCATTTTTTTTAATCTGGAAATCAATTTTATAAAAAATAAAAGAAACAAAAACAAAAAGGACATCTTCACTTATACTAATATATATATATATATATATATATATATATTATTTATTGCTTATGAACTACTTATAATTTTTATAAAAGAATTAAAGTAAGTAAAGTAATCTCTATGTATGTATACATGCATATGTGTATACATATGTGTTTATTAAAAAAAATATAGTTTTTTTTATTTTTTTTATTTTTTTTTTTTTTTTATGAATAGATAAATTTTTACTTTAAATTTTCTAAATAAATATCGAGTTTAATATCAAGAATAAAAATAAATAAACAAGTTTTATAACAAAGCTTCTCTTACTACCTTAAGCAGCAAATCACTAAAAGTTTAGACAACACACTTCTAGCTTTGCTCAAACTAGAATTAGATGTAAGAAAGAGATTGTCTTTATATTTTATAAAATATTTTATTGATTTTATCTATCTTTTGGTTGGAGAATTATTTTTCAATTTGTTGTAATTGTGCAAGTTAATTTATTGTCTTCTTTCACAATAATATGTTTCTAATATTTCATAATATTTTATGCATAGAAGTATCTACTCATACTTTAAAGTCAAATTTGTGATAGTTTAACATGATATATAAACATATTCTTAAAACATTATTAGAATATTTTGCTTTCTTTCATTATTCCATCTTTTACATAAATCTCATAAACAAACTTATGTAAGTTCAGAACATGAAATTAAAGTTAAGAAAGAATTTTCATTATATATTATTTAGTGAGAAATATTATATCATATAATAAAAGATCTATAAATATATATATATATATATATATATATAACATATTATATTTTTTAGAGATAAATTTGTTCTATTTTAATAACACCATCTAACTATTGTAGAAATTATACAACTAGATTTTGTAACATTTTAAATCTTAAATTTTTTACTTCATTTGATGTATATATATTTATATTTATATTTATATTATTAATTTATATAAGCTTAGAAATTAGAAAGTATCATGATGAATTTTTCTTTTTATAAGTACTTATATATATATATATATATATATATAATTCAATAGTCTCATATTTATAAATCATCATAATCATCATAATATTCATCATCATATTCATATATATATATATATATATATATATATAAATAAATAAATAATAGATGTTAGTGCTATTTTTTTGAATTAATTTCTTAAGAAATAATTATGATGATTATGATTTATTTTTTTACGTTATTATCAATCTAATTATCTTATCTTTTATGTTTATACCTTTATTTGCTTATAAATTATACTTTAAAAATAAATATGAAGATGTAAATTTTTGGAAATATATATATTTGAATGTACTTTATTTGAATTGTGTTGATATTAGGATTTCTTGATATCTTGTTTGTAATAAAAAAAAAGTAATCTTTATATATATATATATATATATATATATATATACATATATATATTTTTTGGTTTGCTAAATACTACTATATCAAATTAAAATCTATTATTGAGTTTTGATTTGAAGAACTATTTTTGTGTCTGAAATTGATTACTATTTTTATCGCTATTATAATGAAATAAATTGAACTAATAGAATAATAGTGGTTATTATTAATATTTTTTTAGTTTATATAATATTATAATTATATAAAATTTTATTTTTTCAGTTTTTTTTTCTAATAGTATTAGATGTACTTCTATGCAATAAACATTTTATAATTTAAACTACAAATTTTGTTATAGATTGAATATGTTTTTGTTTAATGTTAATAGACCAATGCTAAGAACTTTTATAAAAAAATTCTAAATGCAATTATTGATACATTAATCAAATTAGGTTAGAATAAATAAATGAAATATCAATTAATCTTTCAAAGAAAAAAATATGTGTTGTAAAAAATATATAATATGTAGATTATTGATGAAACATACAAATCATTTATTGTTATTTAAGTAAAAAGATATTACATCTATAATAAATCAATATTTTTTTTATGAGAACCAATAAATAGTCAATAATTTAGAATTACCAACATTGTTATATGTGTATGTATATATATTTATATTTATATTTATATTTATAAAAACTTGTTATTTTTAAGGCATATCTGTCATAAATTAGAAGATTTAAAAATAGCGCAATATTAATCAATACATTTATTTGATAAATTTTCATATCAATTATTTAAGTTTTTAAACTTATATATATAAGAAATGCATTCAAAAAAATTAAAAATAAATAAAATTTTAACTGGTTTTTAACCCTAATAAAATTCTCAATATTTGTGGAATCATAACCTTAAATTTGACATTACTCATGTGGTGGTAACTAAATAAATATTGTATTTTGACAAATGGTCGTTGACTTTAAATTGTAGGTAATTATTTAGATAATGATACAAATGCACATGTCAAATTTTGATAATGAACACACTGTTTTTACCTTAAACACCAATATACTACCTTAAACCTTTCACCTAAAGTACCTGAAATTGTAAAAATTATTACATAAATGAATTTTTTATAAAATTTACAGTGATAAAAAAAAAAACAGTATATATATGGTTTTTAAAAACCTTCAATATATATATATATATATATATACATACATATTTTTTTTTTGACGTCCAATCATACTTACTATGAAGTTAAATAAGTTCAATCAGGAAATAAAATAAAATAAAATCTAGTGATGTAAATTGACCCACAAAAAACCACGCAAAAAAATACAAAACGAACAAACATACTTTCTCGGGATCTTACTTCACATGTTTTATGTTTCAGGAACATGTGAAGCGAGTGAAGCAAGTGCGCACTCTGTGTCTGTAGACTATAGAAAGAGTACAAGTTGAATCGACAAAGTGACCTAGATAGAGACAATGAAGAACATTGTATCACATTCGGAAAAATTATCTTCAAATTAAAAAAGTGGGCAGCATCTGACACTGGATTTACCTTACTTTTAACGGAAGTCACTGCCATTATTTTGATTGATATAACTCGTTCATTTCACGAAAACATTCTCAGTCAAAGGCCTGACGAATAACAAGCCAAAAGACAGGATCGCAGTTTGCAACCCAGATAAATCCTATCAATTGCTTGCCTTGAGAGTTAAAAAGTGTCTACATTGACGAATAAGTTCTATGCAAGTCTACGATTTAAAATCAAGTGTTTATACATTGGCATAACCACCGGATGTGAAATTGTTCAGAGACAAAATTTCATAAAAAAATTGTTCTGTTAAAAGAAGATTCACGATTTAATCCAACCTTGAATGGCCGGACCTCTGAAGGCCTCAATCATTTATGTGGTGACAGTGAAGAACGTCCTCCGCTGAGGTTGCTTCCTGCACGTCTCCCCCCGATCTAACTATACCTGGGGCAGCTCCTTGTGCCTTTGTCAAGGGCCCAGGAAGGATGGGGCAAATTTTGGGAATTTGACCGTGTCCTCCTCCACGACCACCCGCATGAGGAGACTGTCCAATCACAACAGATCCTGTTCCTGGTGGATTGACAGAACCATGTCCAGCACCAGGTATTAGCGCGACAGGGTGTCCATTCTGAATACCACCTGCCTGTTCTGTGGAGGTCTTTTTCGAAACGGAGTTCCCCGCAGAAGGCTGTGAGAGAGAATTCCCACCATAACCCTGTCCGAATGGCTGAGCTTGAGGTCTTGGAGGTGGAGACTTGGGGCGTAAAGCTTCAATTTCTGGAGTAGTTCCAACTAGATGAGGAGCGTCAATCACAGGATTGCCACGGGCACCTTGCCAAACTTTTTCCTCTAAATCAGTGAAATTTTTAGCATATGTCTGCAAGGGCAAGCATAAAGAACTGTCAGCCTCTCTTGGTTTAAAAATACACACAAGATAAGCAGATGTGATGCGGTTCCACGAGTTATACCTGAGGATTGTAATTAGATGAAGTGAGGCCCTTCCCTACGGTGACCCATCCAGATCGGATGTTATGGTCTTCTCCAAATAATTCGATGCGCCGTATCCCTTGTGCGAAGTGTTCGATGATATGATATAGCTCCTCGGGCTTCTGTGTAGACCCTAGACATGGAAGACAATTGACAAGGAGTCAATAGTGGCAATAGCTAATCGTGGCTCTCAGGTCTATCCCCTTTCTTCTTGAACCATACTTCTTTGTTTCAAGATCCTATTAAACCTTCGAAGCATGTTTAGACATGCTGATCTCACGTTTTTCCCATAGTAGATTAGACCACACAATTCTTATAGCAAAGACCACCCTCTAGTGCTAGTGGAATTCAAGCACAAAAATCTGTGATGAGAACAAAAAGTATAGTTGGACCCAGATCCACTGTGCCTCCAGTGCTTTTTGGTGCATAAGTAGTAAATAGTCGGAAGTTGCGCAGAAAAGTACCATATTCTGGGTCTTCCGAAATTATGATGTCCGTGTCCACATTCGCATGTATAATATGACCATCGGTGCTGCGCCTCACTGTCCCTTTTATCCCCATCAAGCAATGCTCCTGCACAACAGGTATAATCTTGTCTCAATATGTATCCAACCTCATATAAATTAAAATTGTGTCTAAGCCGCGACACGTACGGAGGATAACTTACCATGTTAAGCAGTGGACTGGACAGTCTTGAGATAGAAGAACTAGCAAAAGCACAAAGAAATGACTATCAATTAGCAATTGGATGCTTAGAAAACAAAACCCACACGAATTCAATTTCCATACTTTAGAGTGTTGAAATAGAGTGTTGGAGTCGTGACGCAGGGCTGGAGTAGGATTTTCCCGGTTAGTTTTTACCCAGCATATGTCCTCACATCTCCGGAACCCCCACTAACAATTCATCACAAACAAGACAATGTTAGCCACAATATAATAGTGAAAAGTATAATTATGTGAAGGGGGAGGAAAAAATTTGCAGGAGAAAGAAACGATAAGATCTTAAGAACACAGGAATCAACGGTGTCATCGGCATCTTTCTTCTCGGTTTGCTTTCCAAAAAACCTGGAAATAAGAACAGCATCTGCCCTAAACTTATTTGCGGAGAAATTATGAATAAGAGGAACGTAACAAGAATATAACCTTCTTAAGACACAAACGCCCTTGCTCGAGACCTTCAGCATCCCCAACCCATAAGAAAATGAATGCAGGTGTATCCGCAATAGCCTGTCGTAACCAGGCGAACCACAAAATAAATAACAGATTAAAATCACTACCTACCAGTCGTCCCGAAGACATCCATGGCCCTTAAATCTGCAAGTTTCTATAATACAATGTGGACATCTCCTTACCTATCAAGAGTGATTCTTATTCTCGATAACTGTTCAGCATATTGTGGTCTAATGTACCGTTTCTAGGAATTATCTCGTCTACAAACCTCGCAACACAAAAAACCGTTGAACACTGAACTTCAATTGATGGTGAGAAGTTTACGCCTGCGGCAGCTGCAAAAACTGAAAATTCATGACTTCACCTCAATACGAAGATTTTGAATCTCTTCAGCTGACCACCATTCCATTGAATGTCCAATGCCTGGAGCTCGACGAACATACTCCTCCCAAGGAGGATCCACAAGTATCAAATCAAACTTGATCCCAAATACGTCGGGGGACAAATCTGTTGTTCGAAGATCATACTGCATGTACATTGGGGGTGTTGCTCTCTTTGCGATGAGTTGATCCTTCCTAGTTATCAGCTCTTTCAGCTTTGGGAACTCTTCGAATCGATCGGCAAGTTCCACATCTCGAATGAAGTTCTGAGGTTGCAAACCTGTATCAACAAAATGCTGAGAGTAATCGTTTTGTTCTCCTCTGGAAGGACCTCTTCCTGGTAGCCCACTTGCCCTTCCAACTAATCCCCTTCCACCCCCAGGTGGACCTCTGTCACTAATTTGGCCTCGTCCTCCTCCACCACTTTGTCCACTGAAAGGTGGTGCGCTTCCACCAAATGAAACAATAGACATAACTCCATGACTTCCTCTCCCTGGCCCAGGCGGATTGAAAAACATCTTAGATCCTGGGCCTGGAACTATACCTGGCCCAAATCTTGGACCCAGGCCACCAGGACCAGGACCTATCACTGGAGCATGGCCTGGTGGGCACCCCATCATTCCCACATCGATACTTCCAGGACCGATCCCCCAAAACATGGGCCCTCCAAATGGAAGCAAAGGAATTTGGCTCAGGTTGGGACCAGGAGTTGGACCCGGCCCTGATCCTGGTCCCATTTTCATACCAGGCATTAATCCTTGAGGACCCATTGGACCGTAGCGAGGGCTAATTCCTGGACCCATGAGAAGAGGATTGACGCTCGGCCGCTGCAATTCCCGGCAATGACCTCTCGCACCTTTTGGTCCACCTCTAGGACCTCGCATCTTACCACATTGTAGTTGCTGCTGATGTTGCATCCCTCTGAGCATGGGACCAGAATGATTGTTATTGAAAAGAAGTCTTCCTTCGTGGCCCAACATGCCTCCCCGACCTCTATTGTTCGGTAAGACTTTTGAACCCCGGCCTCTACCGGGATGGGGATTGCAGCTCATCCCTCCGTCGCCTGCAGCTCCTCTCCCGGGACCATAATCTGGATCATGGCCTACTGGATAATCATTGTCCATAAACCGATCGTCGCCTCTCAGAAAGATACCTTCTCTTGGTGGTATTCTATCGTCTTTCGTCGGGCCATCCCAATCAATCATCCCCACACCGCCAAAGTAATCACCTGCAGTTGACAATCATACTTGGAAACATGACGATCAGAACATTCTAAACAATGAAGTTCGTAATTTATAACTTCGTAATGTTTCAAGAATGTGTTATTTTCTTTTAAGTGTTTGAAATAAACATTCAGACAAACTGAAGTCAACGAAGTAAAAGGCTTTTACAGAAAGAGACTAGTTTTTGTTTATGCTTGCCCATCTTAACAAATTTATACATTTAATGTTAAGACTTTTATATGGTCTGATATGATGCCCTCTTCTTAAAAAAGATCTTGGATCTCCACCTGATGGCATGTAAGGACCTCCATGGGAGCAGAATCCACGTCCAGGCTCTGCATAATTGAGAGGCAATTGGCGGCCTGGCCCAGTGCTATCACTCATCGAAGCAAATCCCTGCGTATTTCTCAATCTCTCCACTAGGTCCCGGTCCATCCGGTTCCGTTCGCTGCTCTCTCGTTCCGACATCCGCCCATCCGGCTTCTCTCTATCAGCAATATCATGTCTCTTTTTCGACTCGCAAATATCTTGCTCCACTTGGAAATTTGAATCTCTGCCCCTTACAGCATCCCTATTACCTTTCCTGTGATTCTGATGCCGTTCATAGGATCGGCCTGCATTATCCACCTTATCTATTTCTTTTCTTCTTTCCCAGCTCCGATCATAAGTCCCTTCTCTACTTCTATACCTGTCATGCTCTCTCTCGCTGCTGTCGTAATCCCTATTATGAGTCCCGCGTTTTTTGCAGCTCTTCGCTCTGTCATACTCTTCTCTACCATCTGACCAGTCCCGCTCTACGTCCTCCCAATCTGATCGCTCTACTCTTCGATCATGAGGACTACGAGAATTTGCGATAGCTTTGCTACTTCTATGATCTCTCCGATCATCAGGACTTCGAGATGATATCGCACACGTCCCGCCTTTGTAAAGCTCTCTTCTATCATCGGGGCTCTGAGGGGACGTCACAGGTCTTCCATGCTTTCCTTTCAACCTGCACCGGTCATCGGGCAAATCTGAACCACTATCCTTTTCAGTTGCATGGACCTTATCTACGAGATCCTCAACTTTACTTCTACTCAACTTTGCCTCTTCAATTGAATCCCTCGAAAGTGATTTCTTCCCTTTCTCTTCATCCCACCTTGGTCTCCTACTGCCATCTTCGTCTACCTTCTCTCTAGCCACAGCACTATCCCGCATGAAGCCATGCGTAGACTCCTTGGAAGCCAACTTCCCTGTTCTTTCATCTTCCCTTCTGTCCCAACTCACCCTTCTGTGTCTATCATCCAGCTCCTCTCGACCTGTTCCTCGTGATCTATACTTTTCCTTCACACGATATCCTCTATTTTCTCTTCCCTTAACGGTAGACCTTCCCCCACCGTTTAGGTCGCAATACCTGTCGTCATAACGTTCAGAACCTATGTGTTGCTGATCATTCCAATAAAGCTCATCCCTCCTCTTCCGCTCTCTTTCTCTCTCTTTCCCTTTGTCCCTCTCTCTCTGCCATTCCATTCCTCTCCCCTTTTTCTGTTCTCTTTCCCGTTCCCCCTCTCTGTCATCCCCTCCCAAAAATCTGCCCCCTAAATCACAATCTTCTCTTTCCAGTGTATCTCTCCCACGTCGCCGTCCTAAACTAGGTATCTTGTTGCCTGACTCTTCCCTTTCACCTTCAAGATTGTTTCCAACTTTAAGATCTCGCCACTCTGACTTGTCTCTGCTCTGAGTGTGATCAAAATGGCATTTTTCCTTCGACCAGTTTCCACTCCTTTTTTCTCTGTAATGTGTACTTTTCTCCCACTCATCCAATTCCTCCTTTTCCAGTCTCTCTTTCTCCCTGCGATTCCGTTCAGGTTTCTTTAGCTCATTATCACCACCTCCTTCTCCTTCTCCTTCTCCTGGTTCCGCTTCTCCACGAGCTACCAGTTTCTTAAAATCCTGAGAATCCTCGTCATGGGCTACCTGCGAACTACACTTTACTTTCTCGCTAAGTAGAGATTTGCATCCTCCTTCCATTTCTCCACTCTCAATCTCATCCGCATTGTCACTCCCTCGAAGCAAATTCTCGGGGTTCAACCTCCAACGCCCTGCTGTTGAAAATATCCTGCTCAGGTTCGCCCCACTTCCTCTCTATCCTCTCCATTCCAGTTCCTGCCTGTGAACTCGCTTCAATTACCACTTCCAATTTGGGTTCAGGATAATCCCATCGGGAAAGAAGTTTCTCTTTTCGACGGCCATGACCTGGATTTGCTTTCTCATTTGTGATCCCCGAAACATCCTCGTGAGACCCAGGAGAGCTCCTCAATTTTTCTTGATGTTCCAATCTTGCCACAACGATCTCTTCTACAATCTGCACGATTCCACTGGACCAGTCCTTTCGGGTTTCTTGCCTCTTGATTCCTTTCTCGCCCACCTTTGCGCTACCATTGCGCTTACGATCCCATTTATGCACCACTTCTGAACTCAAAAAACCAGGAGCACTTTCTTCGCTGTCGACGACACTGAACAGCTCTTTCACATGTATCTTTGTCCCTACCAAAATGCTCCCTGCTCTTTTCATGTCGACTTGAACTTCGAGAATATTTTTCCATCCCAGAACTTTCAACATATCGCTCCCGTCTCTCTCCTTGCGATTCCCCAATCCGGAGTTCTTTTCTCGTCTTCTTGCGAGTTGATGCGCGCAGCAGCTCTTGTCGTCCTAGAGTCACTCCTGCCGTATTTCTCATCTTCACCGTCGTCACCTTTGTCGGCCGGAGTTTCTCTTCTGCTGCTTCTTTCCTTATCCCGTGATTTTGCCATACGCGGGTCACATTTCCGCAAGTTCTCGTCGTCCAACTCATGGAACCTGTCATGCTTCCGAACTATTCTCTTAGCGAAGTCGGCGCCATGATCAGCTCCTCCACTCATCTTCGCTTCTTGAATAAGAACAACTTCGTTTTCCTTGCTTACCCTCTCCGACGGATTCTGTCTCTTATTGCCCACTGCTCGGGATTCCACGAGTTCCCGATCGTCTCTCTCCGCTCTCTCCGCTCTCTCCTCGTGTCTGTCCCCCCTAAAAGACCGCAACCGATTTTCGCATTCGTCGTAGTACTCGTCCTTGCTCCTCCCTTCTCTAACAACCCGGTCTTGCTCCCTCTCCTATCCCTGTCCCTCTCGTTCTCCCTGTCTTTCACCCATGCATTGTCTCTTTCCCGATCGCCCTTGCTACTCTTCTTTGACTTCTTGAGGTCCTCCTCGTGGCCCTCTCCGTCATCCCAGTCGCAAGATTTCAAATAATGTGAGCTCTCGCTCTTCCGTCTCTTGAACAAGTATTTGTCCCTGCCACTTCCCTCAGGACTTCCCATTTATGCTCCAATATGCGCCAAGACCCTAAGGAGCCACGACGCTCCCAAACTCTCCCAACTTCATGTCCAATTATGAGATGCACCTTTTCCAGCGCAAAACTTAGTGGCAGAGTCCCCCCTGCGTCATTTCAAAGTGTCTTCGTCAATGCGTTGCACCACCCTACCTTGGCTTCTTCCATAAAGACTGTACTCGACACCCTTCACCTACGCGCGCACCTCGCAGGTTATAATACATCGCGACTGAAAAATGCATTATAAGCAAACAAACAAACAAACAAACAAAAACGAGAACACTTCAACACAAAATTTCAAAACAAACTACACGACGACTCTGATCAATCGACTCATCTCCTCAGTGATCGCTGCAGTAGCACCTCAAGCCTATACAAAGTCGTGCATTCTCTTCACGAAACAGAAAAATCCTCGTCACTTACGCTCACAACCAAACTGGTCCGCAATTTGAAAATTCATCAAAACCCTAAATAAAAACACAGTCAAGTGGTGCACTCAATCAACCAGTCAATCAACCTGCAGCAGCATAAGACACCACTCCCATTCTCCTCCTCCTCGCTAATAAACCTTCAACAATGTTCCACCCTCTTAGCAACCCCGAGAAGCAGCAACAAGCTTCTTCTGCGTTCCTGTTAGTGTTTCCTGCGACGCCAATGCCATGAGTATCCCGAAACACGGCATCGTCTATTCTGCAACGAACCGTATTATAAATTTAGAACTCACTAAATTGGCAGGTCAAACGGGGGACCAAATTTAGCGGCGATTGTGCCTCCGGGAGTCGCCGGGCAGGAAACGGTCTGCCCGGGAGAAAGGGGGAAAAAAGGAAGGAAATTGAAAAAGGATGACGAGAAAGCGAAGAGGAAAGAAATGCAAGTGTTTTATTTTTATTTTTATTGTTATAATTTTAATTTTAATTAGGATCCCATTATTTCCATCCTAAGCATGTTTTATGGTTGAATAATCTTGCTGAAGAAATCTATATATATATATATATATATATATGTGTGTGTGTGTGTGTGTCCAATGATATTGATTAGTAAAATGCATCTGGAAAAATATGGAAATTTAGAAAAAAAAAATTGAAAAATATCCAAAAATATCATTATAAATATTTATATAGAAAAAGAAAAGAAAAGCAAGAAAAAAAAAACAAATGGGTTTTAGTAGATTGATCTATATCATGCAATCTTTTTTTTTTTGGAAATAGTTTTTTTAATAAAGATAAATAAAAATAAAATATGATTACTTTTTATTCTTGTGGTTAAATAAAACTATTTTATTTGTGGATTCCAAGATGGTTTTATTCATGTTATTTTTTTCATGTTTTTTCCTTTGTCATAGTTAAATTTTAATTAAACAGAGTATAGATCTTTCTAAAAAAAAAAAATCGTATTAAAGTCTTCAAAGCTCAACTCTCTAAAATTAATAATAAGGCAATATTTTGTTCATTGAAATTGTGTTGAAGAATTCAATTGTGTGTATTCCATAATTTTATTGGTTATCAGTAGGAATTGAGTTTATGGGAAAAACAAGAAAAATAAATGGCATTACCAATATGAAAGTACTTAACGTATAATGTCATTTTTATAATCAACAATATAATTGTAAACTTCCTCACCTAATTAACTTAATTGACCTGAACTTAGAAATTCTTCTACAATTAAATATAAATTTTATCTTTATCATTACAAACAAAATTTGATCTTTTTCTAATACATAGAAAAAAAATTCCAAAGTCCTAATTTATTTTACACTTTAGTTCATGAATATGATGCAATCTTATTTTCCAATAAATGATTATATGTATGCAAATCTTAATATAAAATTAATAATTTGGATTCTTCTTCAATACATTTCAATAATTTTAATTATTTTTAATTATCTGATAATTAATTAAGCTAAAAATATTTTTGAAAAAATAATGTCCTATACTTCTATTTAAAAAAATCGAGTAAAACTTCCGATGAAAACAATTACTATTGGGTCTTTTTGCTAAAAATATGATAACAAAACCTTATAAAAGATAACTATCCTTGGTACTATTAAATTTACCAATAAGACAAACTCCATCCTCTGATATACTTATTCTTTTCAAGGAAAATAATTAGAGTGTTTGTAGTATCTTATTCTTTACTAAGTAAATAGTTTAAAAATAACAAATTAAATATTAGTTGCAAAGAATTTCTCTTGCAAGGAAACTTAAAAAATAAAGTCTTTCTTCTTGACCATTATATTTATATTTTTATAAATTTATAATATTTTTTGTATTTCTAAAAACTAATATTTGTATATACAAAAATCTTATGGTATTTTGTCTTATTTTAATACTAACCACTTACATTGCCCAAAGCTATCGTATGTCATGTTTTGAGGATCCAAAGAGACAAATTGCATCTTGAAATAAAAACAAGAGCACTCTCTTATATATTATAAGAAATTTTAAATAATTTTTTTTTAAAATATAAAAATATATTAAATAATAACAAGGCCATTTCTACACAAAATTACAGCTAAATATTTTTCTAAAATATATATTGTTACCATGCTTTCATATGCAACAATGCTTTCTTCTCTAAGAGAAATGATTTTGAAATATGCTACAAATATATATATATATATATATATATATATATATATATATATATATTTTAAATTTGATCTTTCATCTTGTTAAATAGTTATCCAATAAGGATTCTAATAAATTACATATTGAACCAAAAGACAAACTTAAAACTATTTAATATTTTAGCTTCTATCTTAGGATTTAAAACAAAACATTTTTTTTAACATATTTTGGACAAAAAAACATAAGAAATACCAAAATATAAAAAAAGATATATAAGAAGATTCTACTTTTTTTCTCATCTTGTTTAAAAATTTTCAATTTGTTCTTATTTTTTGATTGTACCTATTGTAGACGTGCTTGTATAGACATCTTTTAATAGTAATTATTTAAAAATATTTAAAATATATTTAAATATAGAATTATATAAGACTATTTATTTTTAAATAATTATTATTATTTTAGCTTGTATAATCCTTATGATACTTTTTTGAAATAGTAAAAATAACTACTATTATCTTTGTAATTTTTTTTATTTTTATTTTCTTTTATTTTCTTTTCTTTTTCTTTCTATATTTTTGTTACTTTTTTTGATAATTGCTATCAATCGTGTATAGAAGATTTACCTTAAGATTTCCACAAGGTAGTAAATCATGCAATTTTATACTACAATATAAAATTGGAATTGAGTTTCAAGGTTTGGAATCTTTATTAAAACCATCATGTTAAATTCAATTGGATTTCTTACTTTATTATTAAAATGTGAGACAATCAAAAAATAATTTTTTTGATAAATCACATTTTAAATATTTTTTTAATTATTAAATAAATATTTTAACAATGCAAAAAATATTAGAAAAATTTTGGAAAATTAATCTTTCAACAAAATTACCACGTGTATTGCCAATAGGAGATTGTAAGTAAAAGTAACAAAAACACTTTTCTTGCTATAATTTAAATTATACTCATAGCATCTTCATAATATTGGTGTATATACCAATATTATTCTACTAATTTTTGCAAAATAAGAAGGAAAATATCTTTCTTCTTCTTATGTTTTTCAAATTTGATCCATTATTAAGATATGTAGTTATTATTTGTAAAAATAATTTGTAATTTATTAGTTCAATCAAAGTCAAAATAACCAAAATTGATCATTTTTTTAATATATATAATTAGATATAAATAATATATTATATTTGTTAGTATTGGTAGTATTAAGCAATAGTCAAATACATAAAGTTGGAGGTGGTGAATGTATCAATTTAATGTTGACCATATAACAACATAAATTGATACTTTTAGACTTCTATGTTGTTGGATTGAAATAACTTTATTTTCTATGTTTAGCACATGCAGAGATTCTATAATAGCATCAAAAAAATAAAAATAAAAAAATCGTAGCAAAAATTATGAATAACAAAACAATTTTTTTTTAATTTGAGTTGTAATGTTGTTATTGATTTTATGCATGCATCATTAAAATCAAAACACTTAAATCTTTTAGCAGTTTTTTAAAATATAAAATATATATTATTATAATAAATTTACTCTAATTAAAAATAATATTCTTCTTTCTCTTCTTTGCAAGTCCTATCTTTATGCAACTTATATACTTCATGATCATGTATATATTAAATTTTTTTTTGCAATCTTCTTTTGCACAAGCCAATTCTTATGCTATGCCATTGCACAATTAATTATCTTCTTGTTAGTTTTTTGTCATACATATATATATATATGTTCTATATTAATTTTTTATTGATCAATTATTTTGGTATTATATGCACTTTTTGTATATAATAAATCTTATTCTAAAAAATATGTTCTAAAATAGATTTTATATCATTCTTTTTTAATGATAATCAAAAGACATATCTATTTTTAAACCACTTCTCTCTTAATTTAGAATGAAGAAGTCAAATGAAACTTCTTCATCCTATAGAATATTATGAATCTCCATGTCAATGATAAAATAAATTTATTTATCAAATTCTAAGAAGACATAACCTATTAATTATGCTTTCAAGAATCATGATTATATTTTATAAAAATTGAACAAAATTAATATTATCATAAATATTTTAAGCAACTCTATTTTATAAATATTTTAAAAAATATTCATATGTATTTTAAAAATATGTTATAAGCATACATATCAACCTCTAATTATATATAAGTCTAAGTTTGATAGATTTTTATACTTTTTCCACTCTAATGTGATTAAAATAAATTCTTTATTTTATTATTGCTGGAAAAAATTAATAAATCTAAAAAGAATTGAAAATGATAAAATTTTAAATTCTAATATTAAATATTTAATTAAAAAATTAATATAAAAATAGAAAGTAATTTAAATCAAATGTGCCAAAAAGATTGATTTGTTTGCAAAGTATTTTAGATTTTTTAAATAAATAAATCAAAGAAGCAACCAATAAATAGCATGAAAGAAATGAAATAAAATAATAAAAAAAATCAAAAATAAAAATAATAAAAATAATAACAACATAAAATTTAAAATACATTTGAAATTAACACAAACTTCAAATAGTCTATTCTTGTATCAAAAAAAGATACTTTTGAACTTGTCAATATCTAGCCTTAAAGAAAAAAAATCAAGGTACCTTGTGTACTTTTATAAAGATATCTCAAAATTATTTTTTAAAAAAATATTTCTTCTTTAAATTGCAAGCATAAAGTATATTATTCAATTTATAAAGTCAATAATTAATTATTTTTTTGTTTAAAAATAGAAACAATAATTTCACCATGGTAATAATTTAATATTGATTTTTTATACATATTAAAATATTTATGAGTTTTATAAAAGAAATAATAAAAAAATAAAATATTATTAATGCAACACTTTTAAATTATTTAATTGACATCCCTCCTCTCTTCTCTCTTCTAAAAAAATCCAATCTTCTTTACTTCCATATATTGTACTTGCAAAAATCCCACTTCTCTTCATGCTCCATTGTTGCTCCTATCGTTTAGAATAAAAGTATCAAATTTTATTCTACATTATTGCTTGCTAAAACACACACATGTCCTTGTTGTATTGTGTAGTTTTCTATCTAGGAATACACTGGGTACCTAGCTGTAGAGAATTTAGTTTTAATTTATTGGCCAAGCTCCAATAAATTATTTAACCTTTAAAAAAAAATCAAATAAATACTACAATATAAAAAAGATATCATACTAGTAAAACCTTTTATATTTAAGAAGTTTTTTACATAAGGCTTTCTAAAATATCTAGAAATTTCCTAATATTCTTGACTATACCAAATCATAACTAACCATTTGCTAGTAAGTTCGATTTTTAATAATTCCAAAGAAAATCCATAATCTCCTCTCAAAAGCTCATCTTTATATCAAAATTTAACCATAGCTCCATATATCCATCTTCAACATATATATAAAGTCTTGACTTCCAAAAAACCCCTTTACTTTGTATAAAATGCTCAAATTGTAATAAAACCCCTTCAAAACATATTTTTCCCACAAAAGATATCTTCTTCTTGAACTTTAGAAATTCATATCTCTTGGTCCAACCGTTCAATTTTTGTCAAATTTACAGATAATATAGAATTCACCCTTAAGAATTATTATTAAAAAATTCGATTGTAAATTTACTACCAATTATTTGGCATCTTAAAAATCCTAGTAGGTGCTTCAAACCCTAATTCACAAGCACTTGAGTACTATTTTCTTCATATCTCACAAATCCAAAACCCAAATATCACAAAACTTGTGTATAAAGTTTATTAACATAAATATACACATTCTTAGAAAGTTTTAACCAAAATCTTGTCAAATTGCACAAGATATAATTCATTACACAACCACTAGCAATTCAAGTCACTTACTACTTCTTAGATTCCATGCACTGACTTCAACTTCCAATATCTCCCTCATCATAGCTTAGAATTCATCAAGTAGTACATGTAAAGTGTAGCCAAAAAAATGCTTTCTCCAAACCGAGTCGCCGATCCTCTATTGCTTTTTGGATGTATGTGTTATATCCAAAAGAGTGACAATAGGTACAAAACCAACACCTTGACTTTGAGCGCCTATATCTCCTTCATAAAAACTCCAAATGATTCAAAATTTGCACCAAAATCATAGCCAAAAACTTGAACTTGCTAATCCTAGCATGCAATGTTCAAATCCCTCTGAAAGACTAACCCCAATCTCTAATATGGCCTCAAGCACCCTCCTTGAAGCCCATTGGTCATGATTTTTGACCAATAGGAATGGAGATTTATATCATCCATCTCCATTCATTCATATGGATATCCTAACTACCTTTCTTGCTACCACAATCCCTCTTCAATTCCTTTTCATATAAGATTTTCATATTATATGCCTTAAACACCAAATTAAAGAACCAAAATAAAATTTCAAGGGTCACCAATGTCTAACAAAGGTGACTCTAAATGCATAAAGTTACTACCAATAAAACCAACTTCAAAAGTCACTATCAAAAGAAAATAAAGTTATACAAATATTAACAGTAATCTTTTTAAACAACATCCTTTTAAAGTAGTAATTTAACCACACTCTACAACCAATTAAAATCCAGTAACATGGCTCTCACTATGTTGCTAAGTAAATTGTAGATTAAATATATAAACATATTATTTACACATGGTAGCTGAACCATAATACGACACTGTATTATGAACATATCCATTAAATATCCAATTGTTCTCTTATGAAAAAGAACAAAGTTGCATCCTAAGTCATATCTTATTCAAAGATCAAAAGAAGCTATTAATTTAACAACTTAAGGATGTTGCATTAACAATACCCAATAAACATTATAATAATACTTCTTAGTTTTTATTAAAATAATATCACCTAAGTTTGTTTCTAATTTTTAAAATTTTATAATATCTAAAAATTAATATAAAAATAATTTGAGTTGATTGATGGCTTTAACACCAAGTTCCTAAAAAAATAAAATATATTTTAATATGACTATCAAATTATTATTATTATTATTATTTTTGTGTGATAAGCTTTTTTGTGATTTTAATTTTATTTCTTATGCAATTAATTTTATAAAATATGAATTATATTTTTAAATGTATTATAAAATTATTAATTTTAAAATAATTTTTATATTATTGTTTTTATGTATTCCAATCATATATCTATATAAATATATTACTAAAAAATGAATGTTAATATTTGATTAAATACATATAATAATTATAAAATTATGATCTTATGATAATTTTTAAGTAATTAAATAAAATTATTTTCTAAATTTTATTTAATAAATATAATAATTTAATAATAAATTTATTTTATTCAATAATCTTATTTATTTTATATTATTTTTTTTACCATTAATTGACTTATTTTAAATTATATATAAAATTTTTTAATATTTAGAATCAAATTGATATTGTTTTATTTTTTAATATAATAATACTTAATTAAAATACCACATTATCTTTTATTATCTTTAATAGCTATAAGGCTAGCCATCTTGTGTTAGTTGAAAAATAGAATCACTACCTTATTATTATTACAATGACTTACCATATTATTCTAATACCTTATAGTAAGTCATAAGAGTGATGGGATATATATATATATATATATATATACAAGTACATATTTATATACTAGCAGAAATCCATATCATTGGATACAAAAACTTGTATTCTCTCACTCAACATTCCCTTGTTTTTATGTGTCCCTTATTCATGTATTCCCTCATTTTCATGTTTGGCCATTGAAAAGGTTTCTTTGTCTCTTTGTGTTATACCCAAATATTTTTATTATATAGATATATAAATATATAGGGGAATGTTAAAATAGACCCACACTTTTACTAAATCAAACCGCTCATCATGGAAAAAAAAAATGATCTCTAAATTCATTTCTCCACAATTGGATCCAAAATCAATGAAAACAAACCACATTCATCATGATTATCATATTCTTCATCATGGGTAAGTTCATTTGCTAAAAACATAAGTCTATTTAACATTCCTCTCTCAATATATATACAATCATACCAGTCCAATAAATACCTTATTTTAACTGATTTCAATCGGTTACAAGACCAAACAACATAATAATAACAATGATAAATAAATAATAATTCAACATCTGTTTTGTGACACAGCTTAGTGAACGAAGCATCCCTTGGGATCTTAAAACGGGAGGCAAAGCTCGAAGTAACATGAGCAAGCTATCCGGAGGCATATATATATATATATATATATATGTGAAAGTGGTGCGATGGAAATCCTAATTAGGGTTACGATGGGGGTGAGAAGGAAGGAAGGTAGGATGGCCTTCCTCCGAGGGAACAGGGCCCTCCTCGTGTAGCGTCTCGCGATTCGGGGATGAAGCTCCACGCAAACACAGTTCCCGACGTAGCGTGCGCGGCAATTATCGGTCGTCGCTCTGTATCCCTACTGACTACCCTTTGATCGATAAACAGATTGTACAGTTCAACAGCTTGTATATTTCTTTTTTCTTTTTTCTTTGCATTGTCTTTCCAGGACACAATTGGAAGGAAGCGGAGTCGGTCATGGTTTTTTGAGCCAATTTTGGTTGAAACTGGTGGAGGACGATGGACGCGGTGTTGGTTCGAACCCTTGTGTGCTATGGCGCGAGATAGTCTCGTCGTCGCTTCTAGTCTCTGTGTAGAGATGCGAGAGATAGAAGAGGGATGGCGGAAAGGTTGTGAGAGGGGAGGGAATTGAGGAAAGAGCGGTGGTGGTTGGTGGGAGTGGAGGAGACATGGAAGTAGAGAATAGGGCAGCCGCGAGTTTCAATGCGGGTAGTGGCTTGGCTAGCTTGCCGCTGGAGATACTGGTGAGAGTGCTGGCGCCGCTGCATCGACAAGACTGGGCACGCGCGGCGCAGGCATGCACGGTGCTGCGAGCCGCGTGTATCAGCGTGCTCGGTACAGTTACCTCTCTGGATCTTAAAAATGCGGGCGCGTGGTTGGATGATGAATGCTTTCGATTGTTGTCTACTAGGTTAGGGGATAGGCTGCGGCGTTTGGAGTTGGATTGTTGGCATTTGAGTGATGGATCACTCGCGAACTTGCCCGATGGACTGGAGGAATTGGCCCTGTGTGGTTGCGACCATCACAGTGATGAGATGCTCGCAAATGTTGCCCAACTGACGCACAAGACTTTATGGCGATTCGCGTGGTCCGGATTCGGAGGGAATGTGACCGCTGCAGGGTTCCAAGACATTGCTCTCAAGTGCAGGAACATCACGTCGTTTATGATTGATAGCGGGTCTGGTATGGATGTTAATTCTGTGGTCTGCGCTGTTGCTAGCAATTGTCCTGCGCTCTCCGAGCTGAGTGCCTACGATCTTACCACGAAGACTTTTTCCCACATAAGTAGTTGCAGAGTGAGGCTGAAGAGGTTACGGCACAAGCGTCGGGTTGGCTGGGCATTACCCGTTACGAACTTTACCCTGTTCTTGCTCATCAGCATGAGCCCCATGCTGGAGGAGCTTCATCTTGTGGACAAGTCCGATGTGGATGATTCAGGGGGTGTAACTGACATTGGTCTTCTGGCTCTAACCGAGAGGTCCTCAACCCTTCGTACCTTGAAATTGAAGTTGGCATCCTCAAGCTCCTCTGAGCATTGTTCAGAAGTAGCTGTCATGGAGTTGGCTAGTAGTTGTAAACATCTGACGCACGTGGAGCTTAGCAATTTCAAAAGATTGAGTGACCCGCCGGTTTACGAGCTTATTCAAAGGTGTCCGAAGTTGGTAGACTTGACCTTGGATGGCACTCCAATAACTGACGCGTCACTAGACCTATTGGCTTCACACTCCAGATTCCTCCGTTGCGTCTCCATCAAAGGGTGCAAGAAGCTAAGCGAAGCGGGGCTGAAAGCATTAGGGCAGTGTGACACCCTGGAGTCTGTAAATGCCGGTCAAGCCTCAGGTGTTACTGACGCTGCAGTGGTTGCCATTTGCACGGGTAATCCGGGTTTGAAAGCTTTGGTACTTAGCCACGGAAATCTGTCTGACATGTCCCTGCAGTCCGTTGCCATGTGCAATCATATGGAGGAACTAGCACTGCATGGTTGCTCTCGTATCTCAAATTCTGGTCTGGCTCTTATTGCCACTGGCTGCGTACACTTGCGCTTTATATCGCTCAGCTACTGCGACCACGTCTCCGACTCGGGAGTCATGTCATTGGCGCTGGGTTGCCCCCGCCTTCTGAAGGTGCGCCTTGACGGATGCCGTCTCCTCTCAAATCCTTCAGTACGTGCCCTCTGTCAAAACTGCCCTAAGCTACGCCATTTGAGCTTGCAGTATTGTGTCAAGCTGTCCGATAATGTGTTCCAGCACTTGCTCGCGGCTCCCTCTCTTCGATTCGTGGATTTGGGCAGGGCAAAGCTGACCGCGGATGGTATTATGAGCTATCGACAGCAGAGGCCTTTGGTGGAGTTGTGTATAAATGGAGTGCCTGGGTGACGTTCCTTGATATCCATTCAACTCATTGTTGAAAGACCACCTTGTATTATATCCCGAAGCACTTATTTTCAATCATTTCTCATTCCCTTAACAGAAAGTCGCTTCATCAGATTCTCAATTGCTCTGCTAGTTGCAGAGAACAGCACCTGTTACATCATTCTTGTGAAGTTGGTTTAGATTTCGGCGTTGGGTGCATGGAGGATTCTTTCAAGTGCGCTTATATATGTTGCCGCTCGCCTGCCCCTATGTCATCTGTAAAGATCCCAAATTGGATAATAGCTGTACCTCAAACTGGTGGCAGTGAAAGTTTATATTTCACTTTTATGTAATTATTCAGGGAAGGTTTTGGAAGGAAAAAAATGTTGGCACATGTTTGTTAGTATGATGATCAGTAGGATGGTTTATGTTTCTAAATAGTTAAAATTTAATTGACTACTGTGAATACTTAATACACTCTAGACGCCTTTCCAGCTATCACTTTACAATGGATTACCGTTGTAGGAAGATAAATAACAGAAAGATTTGAATGCGCACTGCTTAAGGCTTTCATATGGCAACACACTAAATAAATTTGCACGGCAAGGAATATCGGCCTGAATGAAACCCTTGGTTGGGGCAGCAATTGCTACTCTCTTAAGAGGGTACCTTCATATGTTACAGAGCTCCGAAGTGGATTATTGTTTATGGATTACAAACACAGAATTTATGGAGATTGGCTAACTCTGGACTTGGGATGGCTTCCTGTAATAATTTAAGTAGAAGGTAAATCCTATCAAACTTGGACTGCGGACTCTAATGTGAAACGGTTTATCCTCGTTGTACCCAGGATATACTCCGGTAGTTCCTCCGAATTGGTGGCCTATCACACACACAAAGAAACAATAACAACCAAAAGTTAAGATTTCATGTAGGGCTCATATGAGTTGCTAAATTCAGGAGGATTAGAGCACCGTAACTCGAGTGATCGAACGAAGTTCTAGTACGTGCATATGTGAACACCACTGCAATCACGATACGCCATCACCTCATATCACACCATAAACGTGAGGTAGCTGATAGTTTTCAGAGGACGTATGACAAAATGAAAATAATAAATGGAATGGGAGATTACCTCGATCAAAACAGCCAGGTCAACGACGATGCTGGTTACGTAACCCAAAACCAGACCCACAACATTGCGTGCAACAGAAGAGGAACCAATGTCCACATCAATCTGAAAAAAGACATTCAAGGATATCAATCAAGAGGCGTCGAGGTATGAGCAAGACTCAACATGGGGAGGGGTATAAAACAGCCTGATGGCTTGAAGTTGCATCCAATAGCAATTAGATAAGTGAGCAAAGTTGGGAACGAACCTCGAGAAAATTATCTTCCCTAAAGTAATTACAAGTAACAGCTTTGCCTAAAAGGCACGCTTTAGTGCCAACAGCACGCTTCACAACCCAGTAACCCTGCACAATTGCAATCGCAAACGTTTCACATACACGGCCAAGGTTGTACAAAAAGTCCTCACAAGATTATCATGTTCTTGTGCGTATTGAAGTGACAAAAAACTTCTTGCAGGAGTTGTTTCTTATTCAGAAGAGTGAGAAGAGGAATCACCCCAATGACAAATTATCTTACCTCCACAATGCTAGGAATAAGCTTAAACCGTGAATTACGGAAAGCATTATCACCATTGGCAAATCGATCTAGCAGTGACCCTTGTCGAATTGGCCTCTCAGATACGAAGTACATGACTAGGCTGTAGTTGGGAGAGGCTGGTACCTGTCCGCAAGAATGGACCCATTACATCATCACGCAGAACCTCCAGTGACAATATTCAAAATGTTTTCAGGATTTACAAAAGTGTGTTGGAAAAATAAGACCAAAGATCATTACTAACTATCAAGTCCATGTCCCATGGTATACAAGGGCAACTGCGATCTAACCAAGGTTCTAAAGACTTAATCAACAGAGGTACTCCCCTAGTAAAATGCAACTGCCATTGATTGAGCTTTTCTAGAAACTATATACAAACCATCACGATATCAGTGCTCAGCATAGCATCATAACCTACTGCTAGCAAACGAGTGTCATATTATACATCATCCTAATCAAGGAATACTAATTACCTGTAGGTTTATGATAAGAATGAATGGCGCTTTCTTGCCTGCATCAGACTAATACAGCATAACACACAAAATAATTAACAATCGATTGTGGTGGCCGAGCAGTATGAACAAATCGTAGAACCTTGTGATCTATAGTTTAAATCTAGTTCTACTAGCTCTGCATCACATGTCGAATGGAGACATCAAGAAATCCTTGAAAAGGAGAACGTCGAAGAAATCACAAAGATGAGAACCGATGCCTCACTTGAACGCAGCAGCTAGGTCGTTTGGCAACGTTGTCAATCCTCTTATCGGATTTCAGCCAATCCACAGCTAATAGTTTTAAAAGCGGGTCTCCTCCAGTGGTCTGATTAGCAAGAGACTTCAACGTCAGCTAATCTACTATACCAGTTTCCGAAATAAGACAAACTAGCTGAGTACTGTTTGCAAACGAACGGACGAATACGATAACTATGAGCACATCGATTAAGAGTTACTTTGAGCTCTTACGAACACGTCGACGTAGTAGGCAACCAAGTGGAAATGGCGGCACAACTAAATGTGAGGTAAGGTTGAGACACAAACCTTAAGACCGTCATTATTGTAAGTAACACTTCGAACCATAAAGCCCTTACCACCAGGATCAGACCATCCATGGTCACTTCGGCCATCACACCTCCTCAATCCTGACTGAAACACGCCGTCCTCAAAATGCACGGCTGGAAAATTCCAATCTAGCTCTTTTTCTGCTCGAGTTGCTGCACAATTAGCAAGCAAATCTGAGCTTTGCGGACAGACAAAGTGCATCGGTAAAATTAAGATTGGACACAATTAACAATAAAGACGCATTTAATCACTTTCATGTACACCGAAGAGCCAAGCACGTTAAACTCAAATAACTGTTAAGCAACTATAGTCGAAGGCACTTAAACAGTGAAACCTTCTTCAATTTCAACTCTTTCTATTTAAATAGCAATAATTGCACTACTTGAGGAAGTTCTTTACTATTCTAAAATTACATGAAGGTGAGAGGTGATATACCTGGAGCTTTTTTACTTTTTGAAAGGCCAACTACAACGCCCCAAGATATTCCCTTAAACTTCTGACTAGCGGTCTGTTCAAACACACCTACACTTGGTCACTTGTAAATATACCAAACGTATCGAGGTAGACTAACGAAACAAGGAGACTTAAGAAACGGGAGAATATCACACGACTTCGTCGTTAGCTCAACAAGTACCTGAGAACGATTCAAAGAAGCTGGTGAGCGCCACTATGATCATTTGTAATGAATCTAATTCTTCGCAATGCTAAATTTATTCTAGTATGACAGTGAGTGGTCTAGGACTTCACTACAAAACATTCTTCAATTCATTCAAACGCAAGATTGTGCGACTTAGTGCACTTCGCCTCATAACTCATTCCGGTACTTTATCCATGACATGATATTAACCTCTTGATGTCAATCCTCATTGTTCCGTCGTTTAGAACTCGGACCGTTGTACAGAACGTCAGTTCCATGCCATGTCCTTGAAATAGTAGAACCCTAGTCTTGTGGGTCATAACCAGTAGCCAATAACCAGAGCTGCTGAAGCAAGAAGACTAGATACAAGCAGCCCTGCTTAATTGAGCTTCCAAGATCAATAATAAATCAAGAAAATTAAATTCCACCATCATTTTTAACAAGCCTTTGGGAAGCGCAGGTCCTCGGCAAAAATTGAATATTGTCCATCAGAAGCGTCTGGTAGAATATGACTCATTAACGATGATAAGTTTGATGAACAATTTAATCGGTGTGATATAAAAAAAATACTCAGGGAGCTTGTCACCTACCCTTTGCTTGGAAAGCATTGATCGAGCGGCATCGTCCTCGTCTTCATCAGGATATTCGACCATTAGTGCATCATAAAACTCTTCCTGCGGCTCTGCATGCAGAGAATCAGGAGGTCGCGTTAAGAGTGAGTTTAACCCACTCAGTCCCTGCTCATCCACTGACTTCTTCACTTCCTTGGTCTTGACTTGAGTTTCTAAGTGAGTATTATCAGGATTCGCTGCAACCAATTCTCGTAAACCTATACAAATTCGCCCCAAGTTTGATTTGTAAGTGATTGAGATGTGCAAATGTCTACTCGAATCATCCTAAGCCATTCTCAATTTTCTCATCAAGAAATGATGTCAGAAGTGCTGAAATCATTCTCACCAGCAGTACGACAAAGTAAGATGTAAGGAATTGTCGTCAGGAACTTGGAGAAAGAACTATGTTTCCATCGTCCCCACCCTGTTGACTTCACCTCTATCATTTGCGTCACAAGACATCGAGGCGAACCGAAACCAGGCTTTGGTGGTAATGGCATAATCTCCCATATCCCCGCTGTGAAATTTAGAATAAGTCAAAAACTTCAACGGAATTGATACCTAAAGAGAGGTTGATAAAACATCCCATCACATCTATCACGAGCATCGATCACCGTTGATTGAATGAAATCCACAAAATCCAAATCCAGCAACCAAGTAAGCAGTAAACGACAAAGTACCCACACTGTACACTGCATCAGCCAGCACATGTACATGACCTTGCACAGGGAATGAAACTTACGACTGATATTTATACGATTGAATCCACGCTTCGGAGGGCACTTTTTGTGGGTGGTAAAGATTTGTGTTATAGCTGCAATCATCGAAACATCACGGGTCTCAGAACAAGATCCTACGACATACTTGAGACTGAACAACACTTCAGAGCATTGTATTCTATGCAGACACTACATCGACTCGCTACAATATCATTTCTATTGTCTTTCGCTGTCATAAGCATAGCAGACCATGAAATATGTTACTGCAAAAATACGCATCCCTTCCGGGAAATACATTGCATTTACTCCATTAACTGAAAAAGGAGCTCACAATAAGATCCATCTTGGTCGCGGCGCCAAACTCGTGAAAACAGAAAGTCGGTTTTTTTCTGGAACCTGGACAAAGCAATAAATTTCTACGATCAGTCATTCAAGCCATTCAAGCTTCGCTGCCATAGTGCTACTACGAACTGCAAATGTCCAAAAGAGCGCTCTGCCGATGAAATCTTGAAGGAATAGACATAATTGTCCGAACATGGATCGTCTGAATAGGTTACAATCTTACCTCTTGAAAAATTTCGGGTCAAACGAACCGTACACAATGTCGGTGTGCCCGTCGATTTCCTCAACAAGCTCTAAGTTGCCCATATACATATCCCATCTGAAAGATATCCAAAGCACAATAAAACATAAAGATCTACCAGCAGTTTTCATCAAATCCTAACTGCAAGCTTTTCATTACTCAGGTATATCTTGCTCCCTTCGAAACAGTCACTAGTACTTGCAGTAGTGTGGATCCTATATAAACCACACCATAAAATGAAAACCGATTAACGTAAGAGTCTCTACTCCAGTTTTGTTACAATAGGAATGTTTGCATATCAACGTCTTCACGATCGTCGCAACTTACATTTACAGCAATCCAGTAAACAGACACGCCTCCAAAAAACCACATTACATGCGATCAGTGATCTAATTTAAAAACATTTACATCAACTGAAAATTCCGGATAACAAGAAGCGCTGTGATATCCAGCTACTACTGCAAGTTTCTCACTGGTATCGCATCTTGGTATTAAAGCTCATGATGTGCTCAAAAATTGTCTCTGCTGCTGCATCGATAACTCCAACAGACTTCATTATGTGACCCTTCTCTGCCTGCATATCCAACGCAGTAAATAGGTAATTACTAAAATCTCAACCACCTTAACATTATCTAAAACTTCGATCTTATGGAAGAAATTTGAAACCCGCTGACATTATAAATGATGTAATCAGCACATATATTGGGCAAAACTTTAACCAAAATTTTTAGTACCTTCGAAGCTGTAGCGTCTTCAAAGATTCGGAGACCTAGATTTTCAAAACTAAATCGTGAGCAGACCATTTAGGTGATGCGAACAGATGAAAAAGAAAATATTGCGAACTCAAGGGTAAAGTAAGAGTATACATCAAGTACGCACAATGTCTTGAGATCTTCATCATAAGATCCCTTCAATCCCGATACTTCCCTAATGACTTCATTTGCACCAGTAGAGTGTGTGACAAGGCGATCTCACAAGCCATTTGTCATTAGCTACGTGAAATAAGCAGTATGTGTACATAGGGATACCTACCATTGACTATGTAAACACATCTCCAATCTGCTAGTTCAAATGTGTCCCCCTGAGGATAATTGTAGAAACCGTCTGATTCAGGATCTTGGGCCACCATCGATGGCCGTCTCAGAAGTGCTTCCGGACCTGCTCAAAATCAGGAAGAAACTGCAGTAAGTCACTTTTCAGCTTGAACAATCATACGAGAACATATGAAGGTCACCACCGCTTGAGGCCCCCTTGTTGCCCAATATATCTGAAATAATATATCATGCAAAAAGCAGAAACGAAGGCCACAAGGTTTTAGAAAAGCGTGTATTCCTTACGATTAACATATACCTTTTCCTATGGTTATCAATCTGCCAATGTTCGCAATGCCTCGGGAGCCTTTTCGAGGACCGTTGATATCGAACCTGTATGTTGCGTACTAATGGTAAGATGAACAATTATATTACAGATGAAGGGATACGTTCACCAAACTCATTGAATATGTGTAAAGGTTAGATATTTTTGCAAGATTTGGTGTTCTTAGTACTGGTTTTAATAGAAATAACAACCAAACCCATAAAATTCGGGAAAACAGAACTTACTCGTCATCACTGTGCATGATCCGGTTACCACTTCCGGTTCTGTCAATAATCGTCTCCGCCTGATGCACAGGTAAAGGATGATATGTACACTTTTAGCAAATAGTAGAAGAATTTCGAGCGGAACATTCTACCCCAGTTGGATCAGAATCTGCAAAGCATCAGACATGTTATCTGAATCAATAAGCACACTACCTCCAGATAGGTTTCGGAACAAAACACTTACCTCTTCCTTCGCATGCCTGAAAGCAGATATCCACTTCTCCACTTCCTCGCAATTGGTACATGCGAACTGGTGACAAAGCAAGCAATGTAGTTAGCAAGCAGACATCAGTTCTTAAAACTGCATTCTTTTTATTATTTTATTTTTTTCTTCTCATGTTTGTGATATCTCAAGGATTCTATCTTATATTCTCTGCAGGAACTTCATCTAAAATAGACATTTGTGGAAATAGTCGGTACCTCTCCATTCCGGCTATCATCCAGCTTGCTGTAGATCTTCAGAACATAGAGAGGCTGTACATAGACCAATAGTGCATCAGTAAAGGCAAAGGCCGGGACGACGTTAGGTTGTCAGAGACCATTCTACTGCAGCATAACGCGGCCAGAATGGCAGGAACACATTCACTGCAAATACAAGGTAGTTGAAAAATATTAAACAGGACTGTGAGCATTCACTGTTGAACACGACGGTATCCAAGTTAAGATCGACTGCATGCTCCACGAACTAGCCTTTGAGTGCCTACCCCACTGTGAAAGACTCGGCGGCCAACTTCCTCCACCATCAGATGAGTCCCAACGAGTCCGCTCCTCATGGGAATCTGAAAGAAAAGAGTAGTAGCCCCAAAATTTAAGCTTGCAATCAACGCAAGCATGGACGATTCACGAAAAAAAATACCAAAATTAAGAGATTGCGCAAGGTACGTTCAGCTCAACAGTCGTTGGAAGCAGACTGCGCAAAGAGTAGCTCGAGTCGTAATTCCAAGACGTGCTCAGCAAACATTCAGATAAAGAGCACAGAACTGTGCAGAAGCATAATCTGAATTTGCAAGAACAAAGTCATGTTCATCCTAACTGAGCTCTCGATTTAATTTGCAATTGAGTAAATTTTGAGAATTTAATACAATAACTCAGCAATCGCCCAATGATTGCTAGAAGAAATCAGCGCGTACATATGTAATCCAAAGATATGGGCTTTGCCATTAAGTTCAAGGCAAACCGGCTAAAGGGCAAAGAGGATTCAGCCAAGCCAACGTACAGATCGCGGATTGTCGCCGGGGTCGGTCTTATACATCGTCACATTCTTGCCCTTGATGACCAAATAACGGGGTCGGCAGAATTGGTATCCTAATGAGCTTGTCCCGACGTGAAACACCCACCCAGCGTAGTTAGGAACTTCCCTACCATCACTCTGTCTTCCAGACCCCATAGTTGTGACGCCTACTTCCACGGAATACCTGTGCTTCGAAAAATCTGTTTCTCCTGATTGAGACTTCTCTGATTTGTGAGAGGATTTCCCAAAATTTACACTGCAATCGACAATCTTGACCCTTCTTTCTACCAGATCTGTGGTCTCCCCAAGACTCCCTCCCCTGCCAGTACTCCACTGGAAAAAAACAAAGAAAAACTCTGAAGGTTCGATCAAATTATACCGCCTGTTAAGCCCATTTATCCTGCCTTGGCGATTCCCGGCTTACCTCTACATTCATTACATTAGACGCATAACTTTCCATTTATCTTTTGATTCTCCAAGCCTTCTATACCATGCCCTGATTCCCACCACCGGCTCACAATCATCAGCGGCTCCCGGGACACTCTTCCAACCTCTCCCTACATTATTCAGGATACGATTCCAGCCACAATCCACACGCAACAACGCCTCCTAACTTCCAACTCCACAACGCACATTGCAAACGGCTTTTAACCTACGACATCCGAGTCCGTCCCGCGAGTACAACGTCTCAAACCGAACCCTCAACGACATGCGCGAAAATGCAAAACCCGAATTAGTTACTAACGAGCCCCTCGATCTCCTCGCACACCGTGCCGCTCTTACCAACCAAAGTGGAAAGAGAACGGCACAATACCAGGTCACATTATTCACTGAAACGCGTCAGCTGTGAGACGAAGGCGCCAGAAATGCTCTGTGAACCAGACAGAGCGAGTCAAGCAATCTCACGGTCCTAAGTAAAGGGTTGAGATGGACACAATGTTGCAGCTGGACTTCCGGCGGGTTTGAGACGAATGTGGGACGGTAACGACGAGTGCTGAGCTGTGCATGCGACAAGGATGGCGATGGCTATGGCGATGGTCGTTTCCAATTTCGAATTGCGAGTGAGCAAGTGACAATGGGACAGCGCCTTTGCGAAGGATCAGGCTCGGCACACACTGGGACGCGTGAATAAATGCAACTATATCCTTCCAGTGCCAAAAGGCTGGTCGGCGCAGGAATCGCCATGACGACGACCGGGCCCGCTGAGGTCTCGTCGTCTTCTCCTCGTTCTGGATGTGAACTATTCGTCTACTTTTATCGTCAGTCCCCAACAGAACTTTCTAATTCTGGTGGCACGCGATCTGATTCGATAGATACCTCGTGTGGTCGACTTTGGGGGCCTGACTCGTTTGCTTTTTCATCCGTTTCCATCTAAAAACCCTAATTGCCTTTGGAGTTGAACTTTGCTGGATTTGGAGTTCTGAATTTGGGTGGCATTTTTTGAGGAGAGCGCATGGTTGTTTGGGTGTACGACCTATTACCACAATAGTATAAAAAATTTATACTTGAATTGTTCAAATTACTAGTAACCAAGAAATTTATATTTTATATTTTTACATTTATTATATATATATATATATATGTGGAGTAAAAATTTCCCCACCAAAAATTGTACAGGGATTGTATCAATATTATCTGAATGAAAAGTTCAACTATCATTTACTGACAAAATTCGCTTTCTTCAGACTGAACAGCCACAATTGAATTTCAATACCAAGATATGAAATGTCACAAATAAACTTTAATGTTGAAAATATATCAACTCCAAATGTACTGAACTACTGCTTTTGATGTAACAACAACAATAATTGTGAACGGATCATGTTACCATCAATTCTACTTTTTCTTGTTGCAAATCCTCATACTTTAGCTTTTGGGACCACACAAACCAAACCCTAGTGAACATCCCAAGGCATCACTTCAGCTCAAACTAATTGTTATAAAGTGAATGTTTGGAATCTTACCAATAATAATGAATTTACACTTGCAATAGTCAGTGCTTCAAGCTTAGTAAAATCAAGTGGTTTGAATACAAAAAACTACACGTTTCACTTCTTAGTACATCGCCAAGTTCTACTAGAGCCTTATTCCAATTGTTAGATTTCCTAGTAGTGTGTACAATTTGTATACTCACCAAACTTTCACCTTTTACTTTTTCAGAAAATGAGAATCCATAACCACAAAGAAGAAAGGACTGAATGCGTTCAGTAGCTTCACAGTGGAAGGAAGGGGGAACTCGAAGCGTGGTGACAGGTGAGAGAGCGGAGTGTGAACAGGGCTGAGACGGAAATAGGGGGAGTAAGGTGAGGAGGAGCCAATGGTCGCAATGTGTCGGTGCTGACTGCTAGAGGTCGCGAGTTTCAGCTTGGAAAGCAGGGCGTCCCGATAGGAATCCCGATATGGAAGGGGCTACCCGCGTTAAAACTGCTTCGTTCACACTGGAGGGGGACTGCGGTTCACACCTGAACTGGGAAGCGTTACCACTTCCATTTATCTACTGTTTTAATACTTTTATTCTAAATTGTCCATTTATAAGACTTCAAGGTTTTCAAACATTTCAGTTTTCATAATTCATCCAAATTCGTTTGATTCCTTGCACATATATGTTTATATATATAAATAGGGGAAGGTTAAACAGACCCAATTTTATACTAAATCAACCCACCCTCTTAACCATCATCAGAAGCAAAAATGACCTTTATATTTATTTCTCCACTATTGGATCTGCAACCAATAAAAACCAACCACATTCATATATATAATAATACCAACCACATTTTATAATACTTTAATTCGCTCCAAAATCCACCCTGATTGTGGGGTGATTCAATAATTAGTGCTACTTTTTCGTTTCAGCGAACAAATAGACTCCAGTTGTGTCAAGAATTTTAAAAAATAACAAAAAACATAAATGGGCGGGAAAAAAGGAAAGAAAATATGCAGTCAAGTGATGCTTAGATGGGATTGAAAGATATGGACTAGTCATCACCGAATATGCAGTCAAATGCCGACTCATTTAGCTCAAAAGCAGCACAGCCTGATTTTCCAACCCAAGTGGTGGAACAGTGATGCATTCCACAGTTCAGAATCCTAGAATCTCTGCAAAATCATGCACAACTCAAGAAGCAAGCAAGATGCGTTGGACAGTAGTTAACATATTTACAGTCAACTGGATGCATCCCGCTTGTCTTTCCTCCAGTATGAGCCTGTCTGCTCAGCAAAGATTAGAACTCACTGAAGGTCTACGAGCGAAAGTTTCGATTTCTCAGGTGAGCAGGGTTGCAGGAATCCTGCACTGATCCTGAGGAACGCTCATCTCAGAATTACTAGGCTGGGGCCCATACCAACGCTCTCATAAAAGCTTGAAAATGGAGGTACAAAACAGTCTTGAGCCATGGAAGTGCACAACTAAATTATCGGTTGTAGATGATGCTTGATACCTCCCCAAGCTTAAACCTCTCCTCTCGTTTGCCTTCCGACGTTGTCGCCGAGCATACTCAGTACTTGTGTCGATAGAAGCAATAATCTCATTTGGCATGAGGTAAAATCTTCGTGTTGGATTGGCTTCCTACATTCAATGCGCTTGTAGATTGCAGGTACGAAGCTGATTTTTTTTTCCGTTTCGGCCCACTTACCATCAGCTTATGAATCCAAGTTGATGAAGATGCGCTAGGAAAGGTTGTATACACTTGAATTGGGAAGTGTCAACTTCGGGTATGTAATTACAACTTACAAGTAATCACTAGGGACGTCCATATCAGTCTGTGGTACTGATGTCGGCGTTAACTCAACGCAGCACGCTGCATGAGTCGTACCAGTGACTGCACCACTTCAGAAACAGGAGGTCCGAATTCGGGTTCGGGCTGGCACACAAACGCGAAATGGACGGTGCATTAAAAATTAGTTTGCATTTCATCTCAGAAACCTCAATTGTTTAGTAGCTATTGATTAGTTCCACAGGTCGTTATTCCCTGTAGTCTGATTGCGCATCTCGACCCCATAATAAAATCACAGCCCCAAAAAGCAGATTGGTTAGCGATGCTAGATGATAGACAGTGTCGGACCTGTACACACGAGGCAACAACGTCGGCAAGCCGGGAGAGAGACTTTGCCGGGTATGCACCCTCTAATACTGGATCTACCATTCTTTCGAGCGCACCAATGTCATGCAGCTGGGGTGTTGCCCAGCGCACCAGGTTTTGCTCCTTCCTTGGTCTTGAGCTGCGAGTATCAAAATCAACCTAGTTCAGTACGAAACGATGGCTGATATGGTAAGGTTCAAGCACACCAGAATAAGTTTCTTGCATGTGACGAGGAAAGATGCCCGGGCAGGCTATGCGCGTCTCATGCACTTACCAGCAAGCATCAAATGAAACGAGTACAAATACAGCAGATTCTAAGAAATGATGAACCCCTCTTCAAACAAAAGGCTCGTGTCCCCTGTCCAGAGGCTTGCGCCCAGTAATGAGCTCGAACATGACAACTCCAAAGCTGTAAACATCACCCTTCACATCGTATGTTCCAGACATGGTGTATTCCGGAGGGCTGTACCCAAAGGAGCCAGCAATTGTGCAGATACCTGCCACCGACCAATACAGTCTTTGTTAATACTGATATCTGAAAGGTAACAAGCGTTTTAAAAATTCAAAACACTGACTGCACCAGTGACAAAAGCGGGGACAAGATACTTGCTGCCTACTGATTTTCAGCAATGTAACACTAGGTGTATTGCATAGTTAGCATTCGAATGCTCCAGTTTGTGGCATATATTATTGCAGAAACATGTTAAAATTAATGAGATACAGACCTGTCGTTCAGCACTAGATGGAGCAAGAGCTGCCAAACCACAATCGGTGACATGTGGGTTAAGCTCATCATCCAAAAAAATGTTAGCCGACTTGAAGTTGCGGTGCACAACTGGTGGTGAAACAATTTCATGCATATACCTGTAGGTAAATAGGTTAACAGTCAAAAGCTAATATAACTCTGTTTTGAAGGGTGAAAGAAGGCCACAGTCATTAGCTCCAAACATCCGCCCATGATGTGATCAGGGATTTTTAGAGCGAATACATACTCTAGGGTCCGGGCGCAGCCCAGAGCAATCTTCACACGCATATTCCAGGATAGTCCCATAGAATTATCTGCTGAACCACATAGCAGATCGTGGAGTGTCCTCGACTAATGTACTTGTACACCAATAGTCGTTGCCCATGCTCGACACAATAGCCCACCAATTCCGCACAATTTGTAAGTTGTAGCCAGGCCAAGCCGTCGACGACACTTAAGAAATCATCCTTATTCTTAACCATGGAGGCTTTTGTGTCAAGTTTCTTGACAGCTAGGACCTGGCTGTTCGGAAAATTGGCGGGGTATACACAGCCAAGAGGACCTTCGTCGAGGAAGTTATTCGTCTGAGAAACTATTCGTCGCCGTCTGAAGTTCAGCTACGGAGAATTCTGTGACATTAATTCTGCTCTTAATCACCTCCCCTCCAACTTCAATCTTGAACTTAGCTTCTTCAGTATTGAATGCTGGAGGAACTTTGAGTGCTTTAATGGCGGTGAGACCTTGATCATCGGATCTTCCATTCCCATCTGGAGGGTGTCTACAAGACCAAGTCGGTAAATAAGTAAATTTAGACAACTGTCCATAATATAGCCTCAGTAATTGCACTCCTATTAGAAACTAAAATGAGGACACAAATTGACTGCTGCATATAATCCATACAGAGTTCACAGAACTATTTCGGAGCTGAGAAACTCGTCAAAAGCAACAACTAGAAACATTTGACAGAGCGTAAATCTGGTAGCAGCGCTCACCTGGCTCAAAAACTTTCTTTTTGGGAGTTTTCTCTATACCACATGACATAATAGTAAACCCAGTCAGGTTACCAAACCATGATGCATTTTTTAAAAACGGCTTTTAAAAATCTCTAGCTGCCACTTAGTCGAGGGGAGAAAGACAATCGATTAAAAGGTTGTCAAAAGAACCTCAATATATGAAGAGAAAACCATACTCGAAACCTAGGTTGCAAAATAGACTGGTAGACTAGAAATTAGACGCATTTCACGATGGTACCATTATTCGAAGCAGCCAGG